CACGGACTAGTTGTGTACTTGCTGCATTAAATTTTGTTTCAATTCTGAGTTACAATTTTGTCCTTTTCATTTCTGGAAATCAGACATATGAAAATCACTACAACCAACCAGACTGTACTTTAGACTGTGGAGTATGGTCTGTAGTCAGTTTCAGTTGAGCCACAGGACACATTGGTATTGTGATGTTCCCTTTGCCAGGTTGTGAGAAAGAGTTGACAATTTAAGAGGCTCTCCTAAAGATGCTGTTGATCAAGGCTCGACACTCTTGTGTTGGCCTAGAAAAGGCAAGTCTTTCACTGTCTTCCATCTCCTTAAACCTCCCTCCTTTTCATTCTTTACTCTCCTGAACTTAATGTGTTCAATTTGGTACTTCACTACTGTTACAACGAAGGTACTTCAGTGATTATGAAGCATTTCACAACATCTGAAAGGCATGAACTACATCATTAAAAAGTGCAAGTTTTTGTAAGAGGCAGAGTTGTATGGCACAGAAACAGACCTTCAGTCCAACCTGTCCATGCTGACCAGATATCCTTAATCTAGTCCCATTTGGTAGCATTTGGCCATATCCCTCTTAAAACCTTCCTATGCGCGTACTCATCCAGATGCCTTTTAAATGTTGTAATTGTACCAGTCTCCAACACTTCCTCTGGCAGCTCATTCCACACACGCACCACCCTCTGCGTGAAAAAGTTGACTCTCAGGTCCCTTTTAAATCTTTCCCCTCTCACCTTAAACCTGTGCCCTCTAGGTTTGGACTCCCCTACCCTGGCAAGAAGTGTACAAACCTAAGGGGAAAAAAAATGAAACATCCATACAATACATTTACAGGTGAGGACCAAACTGCCTGATTTTCTTAAACACGGCAGGAAACAAAATTAGGGGACTGGGGGCTTGAACATGTAAATCCTTTCCTCAAATTAGAAGTTAAAGGGATGCAGTGGGATTCCACTTGCATGAAAGCAGCAATGATAGGGTTAAAGTTTTCAAGAGCTGAACACATTAAAGGATAATAAGTGATAGGTTTTGGCAGGCAAACGTGTAACCAGGAGACACGAACTTAAAATCACAAAGAACAAAAGGTTAGCAAAATATTTAGACCAAGGTAATTAGATGGTGGAATTCTCTGCCATAAATCATTGACAAAAACAAGACTATAAATTGTTTTGCATGTTAATTATACAGTTACTTGAAACAAAGTGTAGAGGAATGGGATTAGTTAGACTATTTACGTTCATGAAAACATGGGCAGACTTAATGGATCAAATAGATAATTTCTCGTTTGCAATTTTGCATGAATTCAGATATGTACAACTTTTAACTCTTAAAAATTGCCCTCTGCTTCTTTGTCCTGGCAACAGAGGGCAGAAATGAGCTGTCAGTGGAAAATCTGAGAGCAGAAACCACACTCTGCATTCTATTCTGGGATTTCTTCATAACACCGCTTTTTCAAAGTAGGAGGGAACTAATAAAACAAAGAGCTACTGGTGTTAGAGATCTGAAACAAAAACAGAAAGTGCTGGAGAAACTCAGCAGGTCTGGTAGCATGTGGAAAAAAGCAGAGTTAACATTTAGAGTCCGGTGACCCATCATCAGAACTTTCTCAAGTTGCGACAAAGGGTCACTGAACTCAAAACGTTAAATGGGATAACATAGTGTGGAGCTGGAGGAACACATCAGGCCAGGCAGCATCAGAGGAGCAGGAAAGTTGATGTTTTGGGTCTGGACCCTTCTTCAGGAAAGGGTCTGAAGAAGGGTCCAGACCCGAAATGTCAGCTTTCCTGCTCCTCTGATGCTGCCTGGCCTGCTGTGTTCATCCAGCTCCATACCTAGTCATCTCAGACTCCAGCATCAGCAGTTCCTACTATCTCAAAATGTTAAATGTTGCTCTCTGTACAAATGCTGCTGAGTTTCTTCAGCACATTGTTTTTGTTTCAGATTTCCAGTGTCCACAATTTTGTTCTATTGAAACATTAACAGCTCCTCTATCCACAGATGCTGCCAGAACTGCTCTGTTTCTCCGGTATTCTCTTTTTATTTCAGATTTCCAGCAGAGTATTTTGCCTTTATTTAGACAGTGTGGATGTTGTCAACAGTCAGGTGAAAAACCTTACAAAAAGCTGAAAATGGGAAACCAGATAACTAACTGCATTGGTCAGTCACAAACAGGGTACTGCCATTTCTGGCGTCACAGGTGTCCCATTCAGATTGTTTATGGACTAGACACAGTAACCTCACTAACACTAAAGTGCTTAATCCACATGTGATGACATTGTCAGAGGGAAGGAACCAGACAAAGCACAATCCAAAATAAGTCCTCAATGGCAATCCAGGCAGAAGAAATCCATGCAATATCAATGGCTACAACAGGGACATCTCCAGTCATCCAGGTTTCCTTGTCACTGGAACTGATTTACCTTCAGTCAAAGACCAAGTCTGCTAATTGTGAGAAAACCTACCCATGTTAAAAGACATCCCACACAAGGTTGCCCAACCACTGAAATGCTACAGAAACTCAGCAAGTCTGGCAATATCTGTGGAAAGAGAGAACATGGAGTTCAATATGACCTCTTCCAAGTTCTGAAGTCATATTGGACTTGAAGCTTACCATTTCTGTCTCTATAGATGCTGCCAGACCTGCTGAGTTCTCCAAATATCCTTTTTCAGATCTCCAGCATCTGTAGGTCTTTGCTTTTGTATGCCATCAATACCAGGGACTCTAGTTTACAGTCATCTAGACTCGAATCGTTAGTTTGCTGTGATTTCCAGCTCTTTACATTTTCATTATTTTCCACAAAGGTAGTTTGACCAACGGCCCATTTTAAACAGCGGATTGGAGGGTTCTTTTCTCGACTGTCAGCAGATTTTGAAGGAAAAATTAATGCATGTTTGACATTTATTGTCTTGGAAAACTGTTCCAGTAAAGTGAAATGTTTGAATGCGATTTAATTTATAAGCAATTTGTTTTTAATTGTTGGCCAACCCTTATGGCTTCTAAACACATTGAACAAAAAAGTTTGGCAGACACTTTCACCACAAGGTCTGATGTGATGATGATGGCCAAGAATTAACTCCAGCTAATTGTTTTTCTTTCGTTGAATGGTGTTTGGAAAGAATTTTCAAGCATCTAACATGCTGCTTTTTTAATGTACCGTCAATAGGCATGAAGTGGGATGTGAACCAAAACCTCAGAAGCAGCTGCAGGACTCTCACCCAATTAAAACCCAAATGGGTCCCATATTAAAAGCATTCCAGAATGAAAAGTAAATAGTCAGATTTCTTTGTGGCTGATTATCTAATGAACCCCATGAGGCAGCAGAAAGCAAGCTGAAGTCATTCTCAAGCAATGAGATGCAGCTGCCTAGATGAAGGAATTTATAGAAAGTATATTTTAGTTTGTCCAAGCAGCCTCCTAATCTTTCGCTCACTCCCAGGCAAAAAGGAGCCTGACACCTTGTGTCATCTCCTACCCAATCCAAGTGCAGGATACAGCTCCTACTCCACCAAAGCTCAGATTCCGACACCCATTACCAATCCTCTCATTAACAGCACACAGATGTAGCAACCTGTTCCATTTCACTACCTGCCCTTGTCACAGCCAGGTGCCTTCTCTGGCCACACCTGCACTTGCACAACTACCACTTTGTGTTATGGATAATCACTCCACTTTGCAGGAATACCACAGTCTTGCTTCCTTATAAGCAACATAGACGGACATGTTAAATAGGAGCATGGATAAACCATCTGGCTCCTCAAGCCTGCTCCACCATTCAGGAAGATAATGGCTAATCCATTTGGTGCTTTGAATCCCACAGTACCATCTATCTCTCTTCATCTTTGTTTGCCTAACAAGAACCCTATCCATCGCAGTCTTTAAATTACTTAATGACTCCACTTTCACTGATTTTGGAGGCAGAGAGCTCTGAAGTCGTACAAGAAAAGATTTCTCATCTTGGTGCTTAAAAGGGCAACTCCTAAATTTAAAACCATGCTCTGCCATTTTGGACTCATCCACAAGAAGGGACATGCTTTCCACTTCCACCCTACCAAGAACATTCAGAACTTTAGACACTTGAATCACTACTCCCTCTTCTAAACTCCAGTGAATGCAAGCTTGTCCAATTTTTCCTCATAAGACAACCTACTCATTATATAAGTTATCACTGTAGTAAACCTCACTTGAGCAGCATCCAAAGCATTTAAATCCTTCCCTAGATAAGCAATCCAAACTGCACACAGTATTCAAGATGTAATTTCACAGTCAAACAGAGTCAGTCACCCGGCTGTGAATGAGCTCTGTTTGCGAGTCTGTAGGCAAGTTGTTTTATACACAAGACAGAACATAATGCAGGATAATATAAAAGGAACAATTTGTAAGTACAGGAAATGTTTACACATCAAATCTTTAAAATGATACCCTCGTTTGTCACTGTGTTTCTAATTATGAGTGCTCATAATTTGGGGACCCTCTATACATTAAAAAAATTAAGTATATAAAGAATTGACTTGATAGTGAGTATTTTTCCATGAAATTTAAAGCTACAACCGCAAAACCTAGCTCAAATTAAAATTGCAAATCTAGAAGACAATCAACACTTTATATTCAAGATTTTCAGATAGATTTCACAAATGCCAGAAGTGCATGCCCTAGTGGACATCCTGAAACTCGCTTAAAATGGGAACCTAGTTCCTGTTTCTCTCCCCTCAACAGAACTGAGATTTAAATGAACTCCTTTGAAAGCCTGCAACTTTGAAGCACAGAAATCTCAAATTTAATCCTTAATCTCTGCACAAGGCAGCAACAACTTTTGCAAACAAAGTGGTGCAGAGCCAGAGATGCAGCACTGAGAACTGTCCTTCACAGTTAGTGTGGTTGGGGGGCGGAGGGGATTAGAGAAAAAAAAACTTTAAATATAAAGGGTAATCACTAAACAGAAAATCCAAACTCTCTCAACATGTTACAAACCATGTTAAATGTAAAATAGCTACCATGGAAACGATTGAATTACTAGCTCTTTTAATGATGTTTTCCAAAAATGTCTAACCAAACCACCCAGAGTCTTTTTTAAAACACGAGTACAGATTTTAAAGTACTGTTTTTTTTTCCAAAATAAAGAGCACGCATTGTTTTTAGAGACAATCTACACAAGAAAAAAGTTACAAAAAATATTTGCAGAGGCCAAGCATACACAGGTTTGTTAATTATACACATATGGTTACAGGTGTACTTGCAAAAGTTCTTCTGGAAATATACACAAGGCTTTCTGTAAATGTACATCATGAATGTAGTGTTACATTTCTATATTCAAACCAAGAAAATTGACAGTATCATACATTCACTTACAAGTAGACAAAAAATGCAAAATACAGGTATCTTCTGTACAAAAAGGGTAGTCCACACTTTACAAGATGAACAGGAAGTTTCATTTCCATGGTAACTAGGGATTCTGTTGCTATGCACAATTTGTTCTACTGTCACAACAAAAAAAATTACAATATTTGTAAAAGTTCTATGTGAACAGAATATTAATTTTCCACAACATTTATAAAGGAGAGAGACTACTGTTCCATCGAGTGACAGGTTAAAAAGAAAGCAAGTGTTTTACATTCCCTAAGCTGTATAAAGATAGAACATTTTCCTTCAAAAATTTACTTCTGATTGAAATTTACATTGTACAATACTATATGCTAACGACAAAAGGAAAAAATGTGAATATACACTGAAATGCACATTTTGTCTTATTTTTGTTTTTCAAAGGGTTAAAGTTGGTTCAAACTTTCCACATTTACATTATAGAGGTTTACAAATGTACAATTGTACAGTCAAATTATGCTCCACTACTAGGGTACATTTTAGATACAGATAGACATCAATTTGCCAAAAAAGGAAAAAAACTACAAATATATATGCAAAGTCTACAACAATTATACACTACATATTTATAAGCAAGACCAAACGTTTGGTTGGATTTCATTTTGTTTTGTTGTCTTCCTCATGCTGAACATCTGCAAACAATGCAGCCACCTTGGCGTGTTTGCATTTTCTTAAAAAAAAGTTTTGTTTTAATCTATATGCCTACCTGTTGAGGGAATAGAAGGCAAGCCGCACACCTGAGTGCACAAAAGCTCTGCACAGGTGCACAAAAAAGAGAAATTCTATTCCACAGTTGAGTTCAACATGAAAGAAAACCAAACAGCACATCTGGAATTCAAAAGGTCAGAAGGCAGGGAAGCTAGGAGGCAGGGGCACTCATGCAAATCATAAAAACAGAGCAGGTATTCAAATTTAAAAACACCTACGGGGGTTAAGGGAAATCATGAAAAAAAAAAGACACTCAAAGTGCCTGTTTAATTAATTTATTTTTTTTACAAAATAACTTCCATTTTAAAGTTACTTGTTATATGTTTGAAAACCTGTGTAACTGATTTAAATATAAATCTGCCAAATAATTGCCAAGAAAAGCTCATGTCCATAATGAAAAAGATAATTACAAGTAGATTTCAATTTCTTGCATATCTTACTGTCACAGCAGGAGTACATTAGAACTGAATCTGCATGTAACAAGCCAGATTTCACCAAAAACACCCTGAACTTTTCTACTTTTTGTACATTTAAGGGGGGGGTGACAAAAATATCACAATTTTGGTGTAACACGTACTTTTTTTTTATCTTAAACCTTATGTACAACTATATCTATACATCACTGAGACACAGTAGAAAAGCAGGGCAGTGATCAATTCTAAAAAAATTAACCAAAAAAAGAGTGTGAACATCTCCTGGAAAAAAATAGGACTTTGGGAATTGCTAAGCATCATATATATATATACATACATAACAGGCTTAAAATAAAATTTATAAATGCTTTCAATGAAGATACTAAATTGGTTTGCTTTTGCTAGCATGTTATGGCAACCTAAAACCAAGGTGTTTTTTTGTAGTTAAGAGCCTGCAGGGATAGAGGATTAGGCTGCTGGTTGTTACATCAGTCAATCATGTTTAGTCCCCCAAAAAAGGAAAGGTGGGAGAAGGAGTTATTCTGCTTCATGAAATTCACATTTACAGCATTCCATTCGGTGGCCCACCAATTGGGCCCAGGTCCACTCCGTTCTTCATGTAATATTTTTCAAGTTTGGCCAAGATGTGCTTTCCATAGGTGTACTTGCGAAGGGTTGCAATGTGAGGTCTGATCTGGAAAGTAATTTAAAACAGCAAATTAGCAACATCATGGGGGCAAGAGCTTCTCTATCAAGTTGATGGTGTTACTGATTAGCTTGAATTAAATCTCACAGGCTATGAAACATCTTAGTAAGGGCAAAACTCCCGTTAGCCAATACTTATAGTGACACATACTCCCTGCAAATTGACAGCAAAAACATGAAGTGAATCGTCACAGTGCAATCACAGGATCTGACCGTTAGGAGAAGGTGAGCTCCTGAAAAATGTTTCCCAATTCAATCACCAGCATGTGCCTAAAAAAAGGTTGTTCCGTCAACTGACGGTCATTAATAAACAAGTGAAGCACTCAATACGTTACCAAATTCCAAACTTAAACCAATGGCCTTCTTTCAAAAAAACATAGAGTAGCTATCTTAAATGGCAGCACTAAAATATAGCCCAGCAACACAATGAAATAAACATGTCTACAACTCAAGAGGCTGAAACTATCGCAAACATTTATAAATTAATGCAGCAGATTTGCATTTCTTTCGACAGCTCACTTGAACAATACACAATTAGTTGTTGAGGCACAAAGCCAGGAGACACCACACTCCGTCCACCAAAAAAAAACAGCTAATCTGTGCTGAAATAGCTCATCTCAGGGAGGTAGTATGCACTACTGAAATTGATTTCCAAGAGAGGATTACATAGCTAAAGATTCCTCTTCCAGGAGATGGCTGCAGGATCATCCTTTGTTCACTAGAACAGATCACTTGGACAACGGAAGATGACTCAATGTTACATCCATCAGCATTAACTCAAAGTACAGACACAGCTCTGAACACCAAGTGGAATATGCAAGTTATCTGCCACAGGGGCATGATACAGTAAAATTTTAGTGATGGAAAGTTCCCGGGCTGGCTCAAAACTGCAACAGGGTATAGGAACTTTCATCTTCAGTCTTTGGGCTACTTATTAGCAAGTAGCAGTGCTTAGGCAAAAACAAAACACTGCTATAGGATCAAGATGCTTTAATAGCCACTCTCAGCCATTAGTTTTAGAAAGATTCAGTAAACAGAAAGGGGACATGCATGTGTTTTATCTCATCTATTAGATAAGTGTTTTTAAAAAACCTATACATGCACACACGTGATTAATAATTCCAAGTACCACATTCAGAAAACTGTCCCTAAAAAAACTCATGATCTACAACACTGCATAAAGGTATGATGATATATGTTGTCATTATGTACGGACATACAAGGTTTTGAAACCATATTCTTTCATTATGAAAATGTATTAAAGTGAGGGATGAATTCTGTCTGTCTATCCCAATGCTGTGATCTCCTGCCCTTCAACACTGCTTCAACTAATGACTGCAACTGATCTAGACTGTGATGGAAGTTGAAAGCGAAGTTCATTTAGTAGTCAATGTACAATATACAAAGCACAATGGGAGCAAACCACTGGGGAGTTGAAGTGCATGGAGTTTTTCCAGACTGATCGTCATTTCCTCTTTCTGGAGCATTCACAAGTTGAATCATTCTGACATAACTCCCTCCTAAAGAAACAAAAGGTTTGCAGCCAGAACACGTGACAATCACATTCAGACTGCGTCAGGGAACTGTCATTCAGGTCTGAAATCACCAGCTGCCATGTTAAACCTGATGAGTAACTGGGTGCTATATCATACACTGTTAGTGTGGCACTGTCAACTGTACGTCAATACATCCTGAGATCAAGCCTGCCCAGCGTCTTACGCACGTAGACTATCATATCAATCTAAGATCCATTAGTATGGTAATACTGCAGGATATATTCTCTGGATTTAGGTTAACCTGAGGCACCCACCTCACTGTTCAGGATGTAAAACAACCTCTGGCATCATCCAAAGAGGTCTTCTAGATCCTAGCCATGACAGGCCCAAACAGATACCCACAATAAATGAACTGGGCATTTAATCAGTACTATCTATGATACGGAGGTGATACATAATCTGTCGACTAGTTTCCCCAATATGGCTCAATACCTACAACATTATACATTAAAAGATGTAAAAGACATTATATGCATGAAAGTCTTGCCCCTCTTTGAAACAAAATCCACTGAACAATTTCATATCAGAAGGTTAAGAAAGTACCGCCATTCTTCTGTGGTCTTTCATCATCTTATTCAAAATGCCTCCAATTCATACTTGTGCTGCAATATGGGAAGTCGTGTGACACTGAAGTGCAGCTGAAGATGGAACATTGTCAGAAAGCACATCACCTCAGCAGTTTCACATTACAGAATTGAGAATTGCAGCTTTTGAGAAAAATGCCAAACTACTCCGAAAAACCATTCCTTCCACCACCAATGCTCAGTAGCTGCAGTGTGTGCTATCTATAAGATGCACTGCAGAAATTCACCAAAGATTCTCAGACAGCACCTTCCAAACCCGTGACCACTTCCATCTAGAAGGACAAGGGCAGCAGATATATGGGAACACCTGCAAAACACTCACCATCCTGACTTGGAAATATATCACTGTTTCTTCACTGCTGCTGGGTCAAAATCCTGGAATTCTCTCCCTAATAGCATTGTGGGTCAACCAACAGCAGGGGGACTGCAGCCATTTCAGGGGGAAGGCAGCTCACCACCACCTTCTCAAGGGCAACTAGGGATGGGCAAGAAATGCTGGCCAGCCAACGACACCCACAAATGAATAACAACACAGGGAACAAAACTCAAACCCAAAGCTCCATTCCATTGCTTTTGACTGTATATTTAGTTCAAAAGTAGCAGTAACAGGAATATCTGGTGTTCAGCTTCATGTACATTTACTGGATGTTTCAGACTTTGGAAAGCTGCTAAACCTATGTTTCTTTGAATTGTTCATTTGACACTAAAATTACTACTTGTACATTTTTTTCACATTTGATGTAAAGGAGCAAAAAATCCATTAAAAGGCTGTGTGGAGCTGGAGGAACACAGCAGGCCAGGCTCCATCAGAGGAGCAGGAAAGCTGACGTTTCGGGTCGGGACCCTTCTTCAGAAGAAGGATCCCAAACCAAAACATCAGCTTTCCTGCTCCCCTGATGCTGCCTGGCCTGCTGTGTTCCTCCAGCTCCACACTGTGTTGTTATCTCAGATTCCATCATCAGCAGTTCTTACTATCTCCATTAAAAGGCCATTTGGTTGAAGGAAGCTTTTAAAATTAGTTCTCCTCTGCAATCTCTGGCAACTTTAAGATGGAACATTCCAAAATTGCAATTGTGATTATGAAACCTACCTTGTGCATCACAATCTTGCGTTGGGCTGGCTCTGCCACATCAATCATCTTCTGTACCACATAGTTTGCATACTGATCCTTCATCATAGTGTATAAGGCACTGTGAGGACCATCGTTAATACTGCACACTTCATCAATCAGCAGAGCTCGCTCAGCACGAGAGGCATGGGTCACACACTTCTCAACAACATTGCTGATAAAAAAACAAAAAGAGGTGTCAAGACTGTGATGATCAGAACATTCTAGACCCTTGCGTATGACCAAGACACCTAATCAAGCTACTCAAAATTGTGATGCACTTTGCTAAAACAGCAGAGAGGGAGAAACAAGTTCCCTTTAGCCAGTGGGTTGATTTACAAGCACGGTAAAAAGATATCGATATAAACTGAGCAGAAAATTATTATGGATTTAATGCTCTAGAGTGCACTACATGAAAAAAGTGATGGAATCAGATTTCACAGCGACTTTCAAAAAGCAACAGAACATGTAATTGGGGAAAAAAACTTAATTGTTGAGGGAGAAGGCTGGGATAAAATTGGACAGCTCTTCCAAAAAGCTGGTACATACACAACAGCTCACATGGTCTGCTTCTGTGCAATTGCACTTTATGACGGTGACTGTCACTAGACGGAGAGACCAAAATTCTGTCTAAACTAAGAATTGCCCATTTAGTTTAAACTGTTTTGTTTAAATTTTCTGATACAAACATCTAAACTACTGAAGTAAAATCAGAGCAGCACACAGAAAACAATTTTTCTTTTGTGACAATATGCCATATTAGTTATAGACATTGATGGTCATCTCAACAGGCGTGCAGAATCTATAACACTAACTTAGGTGGCTGAAGGGGGAAATAGAGGGACAGGAAATATATTTCACATTGAAAATAATCAGTAAAACTGTCAATAATTGATAATTTACTTTAGCTTGTATGGCAGTGCATCTCCAATTTTGAAACTTTTAAGTAACACTCTGCACCAAAAGTGAAGTTGCTAGGAATACGTAGCATGGGCAGCATAAATTTGATAGATAACAATAGGCACACACAAACTAGGCACACAGTCAAAGAAAAAACCAATAGAAGGCCACTCTTCCTTGGAGTCTGCTCCATCATTCAATAACAGCATGCCTGATCGGATTGTTCCACATTCCAATCTAACCCCATCTCCAATAACACCCTTGCTTATCAAAAATGTATCTATCTCTACCTGAAAAGCAATCAAACATTTGATTTCACTGTTTAAGGAAGAAGAGTTCCAGAGACTCATGAACCTCAGAAAAAACTTCTCATCTCAGTCAAAAATGGGAAACTTTTTATTTATAAGCAGTGAGCCCCTGTTCTATATTCGTTCACAAGGAAACATCCTTTCCAAATCTCGTTGCACAATAGCGGGATGTGTATTACTTGTTCTCTGTTTGACTGCAGAATGTTGTCCTACAGTCAGAGAACTGAAGTCTAGATGATTCAGGACTTATTTTGGAACCTCAGTGCTTCAAACAAGAAGCACATTACAACTTCAAGGCAACTTTTAGCCTGATCAATAATGTACAGAAAGTCAGACTAAAAAAGACAGAAAAAAATGGACAAATCAGATCAGCATTTCAATTGAACAAAATTGAAATCCAAGGTGTTCTAACTCATCCAGCTTGAAGACAAAAATATGGGCTAAATGAAAGACCACCAGTATCCATTTTCAATAAGAGGCAGATGGATTGCCATTTCCAAAAGTGGGCAACAACCTGAACAGTGCACTGACTTAGTCAAATCCATGTAAACTAGTGGCCCCGATTAAACGCTAATACAGCCCCAATGTATGATATGGCAAGTCACTCAAAAGTCAGTGACCTAGGTTAATGTGCGACTAACCCCATGTTAGGTGGGACTACTGAAAGGTCAGAGATACCTGGCAAACTTGTGCTGGCTCAGAGCCAAGACATTTCCTCTGATTTCAGACACAATCTTGCTCTTGTCTTCAGGGCGGCCATGTTCCAGGACATGTTGAATGACATAATTCCCATACTGATCCTGTCAAGATGAGAAGCAAAATGGTTGAATTAATATCGGATCTGTAAGTATCACCACCTTGGTAGGCGTCTTCCTTGGGTGCAAATTAGTAGGATTTTTTTTAAATATGCTCAATCTGCATTCATTGCTTCCCAACTGTTTTTGAAGAAGAAGCTAAAATGACATTATCCCAAACTAATTACACAAACCTGCTTAATAGACAAAGCTAATCAGAGGTTTAGTTGGAGATAAATACTCATTTATTACTATGTCTAGCAATCTACTTCACTTGGCACGAGGCAGGAAAATGCTCCAAGCCTTTAGAAACAAACCATTGCCAGGTGCGCAAGATCAAGGCAGTGACTTTCTTTCCAATTCACAAGTCATACTTAAACATACCCTATACATCTTGGCATGTGGGGAATTCCCTATCACAAAACAAGGTTGCTTTCTAAACAATATCACCACCTGCCAACAACCGCCTCCCACCCCCAAATCCTAACTCTGACGTAGTCACAGCTCCTGCTGTGCATTCGGATTTGTGCTGTATTATCGAGAGAAGAGAGTAAGTGGAAGGTTGACCACTATGAAGTAGTTTGTTTTTTATTGCTAGATAGCCTTAGCCCTGTAGATGTCTTGGTAACAATGTCTACACCCTGAATACTTGTGACTGAGTACGGTGAAAATACTAAGCAGGCAGGCACTTGTAAGAAAAAGACAACTGTTCAAACTTATAAACAAGTAAACGCAGTTTCCCGATCACCTATGAAAACAAAACACAGTTACATTGTAATAAGTTCTGAAAACCTGACCAAATATTTCTATGCTATGGAGAAAAGTTTCTGCTCTATTTGAATGTTTAAAGGCACAAAACCAGCAAACACTGGTGACTGCTGCTATGGCCATAAAAACAGCACAAGGAGGGGAAAACCATTTATCAAGTTCACTGGGAAAACAAACAAGAATGACAGGAAATCAATGGTCCCAATGCACTTATTGTGAAAGGGACCAGAGTCCAGTTCCTCATCCATGCACAGGAATAGCGGATACTTTTGCAGACACGAGTTAAACGTTTTAGGCCATTTTTAAAAAACAAATTTCACTGTATCAGGTACAGATCTATCCTTTAGTAGAACTGGCATTTTGTGGCATTTCTCCTAGATACACACAGAGCAAAGGAGATGTTTACAGAAGAATTACATAATTCTCCATGCCGTTTTGTAAAAGGGGCAGGGGAAGAAGCAGAATTTAAAGTCATATAGCAGCCGCGTAATTTTATGCTAACATCATTAGTGGATGACAGGAGACGAAGACAGATAGATGGATGAATTTGATGTGAAAAGGTTCAAAGGGCAGAATGGCCCCTTATTTGTATGCATGTTTGAGAATTAAACCAAATTCAGTTTTGATGCCCAGATTTTTCTTGTTTACATAATTATTTTCACACCCTAAAAGGCCAGTAACACGAAACATTAACTCTGCTTCTCTCCACAGATGCTGCCTACCCTGTTGCATCTTTCCAGCATTTTTGTTTTTCAGATTTTCAACATCTGCAGTATTATGCCTTTTTAAAAACATTTCTTACACTGTATCAGCAGGAAGAAGCTAAATGTCTTTGATCTATCAGGGGATGTGAGCACTATTGCTCACCCCTATGTACCTTTTGGAATTACTGTAGCTAGTCAGGAGCAGGTGCACCCACAGTACTATTAGGGAAGGAATTCCAGAATTCTGACCCAACAACAGTGGAGGAATGGTGCTATAGCCCCAAGTCAGGATGATGGCAGCTTGAGGGGAACTTCTGGTAATTATCCTTCAATAACTGAGGAGCCATAAAATGGTGAAGACTGTGCAATCATCACTGAACATCCACACATCTGGCCTTATGATAGAGGGAAGGTCACTAATGATGCAGACAAAGATGATTAGGGCTAGAACAATAGCCTGAAAAATTTTTGCATCAATGTCTTGCTGGATCCAACTACCACAAGCACTTCCATGCCACTTATGACTTCAGTCAATGGAAATTTCCTCAATTCCCCACTGCCTTCAAATTTTGTTAGGGCTCCTTGATGCCATATTATGTCAACTGCTGCTTTACATCAAGGGTAATTCCCATCACCTTGCCACTGGCATTCAGCTGTTTTGTCCATGATTGCAGCAAGGCAGCAATGAAGTCAGGAGCCAAGTGGCCATGGTGGATTGCAATCTAAGCAAATGTGATAGTGCCTATTGGATCGACAATCTTCAAGCTTCTACTGCTGACAACAGCTCTCAAGGGTTGCTGCATCCCATGAAAGTCAAAGTTGCCATAGTCCCAGAGGACCACAGGCAACTCCGTCATTACAGACACATGGCTGGTAGCACATTTAACTTGATGGGTCACCACTTTCAGGTCAGAAGCGAAGTTAAGAAAGCAAGGCCATGATAACATCAACCGGTGTTGGAATTTAACCTGTCCTTGTTGGTGTCGCTCTGCATCACAAACCAGCCTAGTCAACAGAGCCAACTGACCCCCACTCCTTGCTATAAAGTTATGTCACCTGCACTTAAAAGAACAAGTCAGTGTTCAAAGCTGACAAGTTCCAGTTACAACAAGCATATACTGTAGCACTGCTGCTTGACCTGCAACACTACAATCAATGCATCACAGGTTCAGTACAGTGCATAAAAAATTCCTAGTGGCACCAGTGGGCTGTTGTGTATGGTGTCAAGAAATGAAGAGATGCCAAATTCACCTTAGAAACTTCAAACTTTCTTCTATTAAAGCTGGTTAGTCACATTTTCAAATAATTCAACACTAAATAAAGCAAGACCTGCAAAATATTGCACAAAATTACTGATTGAGATATCCTAAAGATAGTCATGATGTATAAGACTGGATGAAAATTCAAGAATGACAGTATAGCCTTTATTGAAAATCACCAGATAAAACCAAGGCACCAAATGTCCCATTTTGCTGCTCTCTCTGAAACATCAGCCTTGACCTTATTAGCACTGATCTCTCAGACTCTTGTGGGTACAAGCCTCACTACAAAAAAAAACCTAAGCACTTACTCTAGGGTGACAGTTCAATGAAGCATTAATGGAGTGCTGCATTGTCAATGGTGCCATCTATTAAATGAGATATTAAGCCGAAACCATGCCTGCTCCCTCAGGTGAATGCAAAATCCAAGTGGTTCTATTTGAAGAGAACATGGGGAGTGTGGGTTTTTCCCAGGAACTTTCCAATAATTATCCCTTAAGCAATATCACTGGCTATTATCTCATTGCTGGTCAGCACGGAGACTATGAGCATGATTCAGGATAGAGAATGCAGGGCTCTTGCATTTCGAAGCAAATTATATATCACTGCCTGCCTGGGATGCTTCAATTAGCAATCACAAGAGTGCTAAGTGTCACTCCTTAATCTACTGCCTAATCCCACAGTCCATTGCAGAGTTATAGCAACATATATAGCCAGCTGCCTCAGTGTGAGCAAGGACACATACCTGAACTAACTGTTCTGTATGTTGATGAAGCTCCTCCAGAATAGGCAGGGTCTGCTCAGGCATGCAATGCTCTAAGATCCGCTGGATAACACGGCAGCCATAGGGATGGGTCGAGAGGGCAAAAACCTATTGATGAAATCAAAGAGGTCAATGATAAGCCTTTAATAGTGGGGGAAAAGAAGAGACATTTTGAAGTAGCATGTAAAGTAAACAGACCATGTCTTTGAAATCTTTATCTTGTGCAGTGTGTTATTTTTGGACTTAGATCTCGATGTGCTATCCCAGTCTGCAATTAAGGATTCACTGGTCACAATGTACACTACCATTATTCTGGGCTTGCAGAAGGGCACGTGATTAAATCGGTGCAATAGGACTCATAAGTGGGCAGCAAAATAGCACAGCTATTCCAAAGATCTGAAAGATCATTTGAATTTTTATTTGCTTTTGCTTTGTATTGTAAATCATTACATCTAACGCTCCAATTCATGCTATTTTTAGTTAGAAAACAACAGGTGAGCTGTCACACTTAACAAAGCAAGTCAGTAACTGAGGCAGCGGAGATGGTTCAATTCCTAATGTATTTTGAAGTAACTGGCCTTTGCTGTAGTTGCAGTAAAGATGGTGTAGAGTTTCACTGCCTAAGGGTTTCCTTACTTGATTACCAGCGTTAGGTGAGGACAGCATTAGCTTCACCTGTGACGCTCCCCAAAGTTGAATAGCATAATGACATTGTGCGTGTGCGTGTGTTCACACAAAACGAATGGTCCATGAGCTAAAGCACTAACAGCACCACATCCCAACAGGAATGAGTGCAAAGGAGGATTAAAAATAGCCATAGTCTCTGATCAAGCCATACCTGTCCTTGGAAAGCATCAATGATGAACTGTAAGGATTGTGGCTGTACACATTCAATACATTTCTGTACCACATGGTTCCCATTCTGATCCTTGACACATTTTAGGACATGTCCATCAAGTTCCTTCACCATTTCATTCTGTATACAATAGGGGAGATGCAGAAAACAACACTGATAAAGGTTTATATTAGCCTTTTTTTGCTGCATTAGGTCAATGAATCACCTCATTAACACTATGCAGAACTTGTATTTCATTCCCTCAGCTCTTGAACCATTGTATAGGCATTTTATAATTCCATTCTTCGATAGAAACCTGCCCTCCACACCTTTAAATCAAAGTCAACATAAGCAGCAAGACAGTATTGTGAAAAGCACACTTCAGAGTTGAATGAACATTTAAGGTACATATACTAAAATGAATATTTCCAAACATCTAATGCAAAACTCTCAGCTCCCCACTAGCAAAGCTGAAACAGTCAAGGGAAACAATCTTCTGGAAGGACACTGGAGATTTTATGCTACGACACAGAATATATTATTTTCAGGCTGTACTTCTGCTACTCCAGGGCATAACATACATACTGAATAGAAATAAATATTGATTAACGTAAGTGTCAAACAGATTGACATGTAGCTCAAACATGGCCTAGTTCGTAGGAATCTTGCCTCAAAAGTTAAAATGCAAGGATTCAAGCCCCAATCCAAAACTCAATTATTTAAAAAAAAACGGTGCTGACACTCCAGTGCAGTACTGAGAGTTTACTGTCAGAGGTCACATGAGATTTTTAACAGAGGCCCCTTAGGGTCTATTAATGATCTCACTGCATTAGTAAAAACAAAAGTAGGTGAATTATCCCTAGTATTCTGGCCAATCAGCAACACAAAAATCACATTATCTGGTCATAATCACATTGCTTTGGGAGCTTGCTGTGCACACACTGGTAGCTGTGTTTCCGACATTACCGAGCTCTGCCCTGCGGAAGGACTTGGACTAGCTGTCAAGTGTTTTCACATGTCTGGTAGTCATGAGAAATGTTATGTAATTGCAACTTTTTCTTTATTAGAAACAAATTAAATTAATAGCAAAATTACACTGGAGAAAAGATTCTGATAAAAATCCTAGATCTTCAACACCACTAATTTACATTGTGTTCAAAAATAAACAAATACATAATAGATTTATACTGCAATTTGAGAAGTATTTGCTGCAATGAGGGAGTTGATTACTGAGGTATGTGGAAGTGTGTGCGCACACAGCACAAGAATCAGAGCTGCCAGGGGTTAAGGAGGAAGAAACTTTAATTCGTAAGTGGTAATCAGTGAAGAGTTTCTCTAATTCAGATGAAGATGACATAGGCAGATTTGTCCCAGAGATTATAAACCCATTAATATCCAAAAGCAGAATGGGACTTAAAAGAGTCAAAGTGACTGAATCAAGAAATATGGAACTATATACTGGCACCTGTGCTTTTAGCTGCCAAGGTCACAATCTCTGGAGTTCACTCCCTAAACCTGTTCCCCACTCTTTCTGGAAAATTCCCGATAACCTGCCTCTTTGACTTGACTCTTTGTCACCTGTCAAGGTCTCATGTGGCTTGGTATCAAATTTTGCTTTCTAACGCGGCTGGGAGGCTTCACACTATGTTAAAATTACACCAATGGAAGTTATTCCTGTAGAAGAAACTGAGTTTCTGTATGGGAAGTAGATCATGATAACTAGGAACCACACAAAGAATGGAAGTTCACATTCAAATCACAAGACACAAACTTGGGAAAATGTATGTGAAGCTCACTTCTAATACTGTAGGAGCAAATTATTGTAGATGCTGGAATTTGTACTGTAAACAAAAATTGCTGGAAATCATAGCAGGTCAGGCAGCATCCATGGAGAGAGAGTAAGCTAACGTTTCGAGTCTAGATGACTCTTCTGCAAAACAGCTCTGATGAAGAGTCATCAGGACTCGATAAGTTAGCTTGCGCTTTCTCCATGGATGCTGTCTGATCAACTGTGATTTCCAGCACTTTTTGCTTTCACTTCTATTATGTTTGGCTGATAATATTAGTTTAGAAATAATAATGCTCAGAAATACTTCTATTAGTTCCGCAGTTAAGACTAATTTCAATCTCGTAATCTCTTTAAAAGCTTACTGCTGATTTGTGCTTACTGACTAAGGAATAGACAACTACAATAGCTAGTAAGGCAGTAACTTCCACAAGGTGCTTGCTCAGAGGTTAGGAAAGAAAAAAAAAATCTAGCTAATGTGTTCTAACTTAAGGGAGTTTGACAATGAGATTGAAGAATGTTGTAGGGAAGACATTCACAAATATATTCAGATAGATGAACAACAATGATAAATTAGTGGAGTAATACACAGGAGAAATGTTGAGATTCTTCTGTGACTGTATAATACCGTATTAAAGGTTTGAAACCCGGCTGAATTCTGAGTGTTCAAAACACGTAAATAAGGTCTAGATTATTTTGCAACAAAATTGCAAGCATACCTTTTTGGATAAAAACATTAGAACACGTTTATGTCACTTTGGAATTTTATTTTTACTTTGCCATTACCGTGCTCTTCTTTTGTCAGAAGACAGCAAAATTTACTGTCAAGTGCCTATTCTGCAAACGAGTGTGGACGGTAAGTCTTAAACTGCGTACACATCACAACTGATGTGGACACTACTCCTATTCTAGCCGGGGTCAATGTAAGAACCAGCAAGAATCCTGGCAGAATCTTCCTGGTCCTTAGCCAGTGCCACCGATGGCACCAAAAACAATGCTCAGATGCGTGGGGCCGTCCTTAAGCAACAAAGCCAGCAGGGACCTAAAAGCAGAGTCCACCCCCTGCAAATGAGGAACCGACCTAAATCTATCCTGCCTGTCCGCGTATTTCTTATTTGTCCTGTTAAATTATTTGGGATTGGTGGTTTTTTCAGTAATTGCCTCTTCAGTGGATAAATTCAAAATTTAAATACCAAACTGCATCTACAAGCTCTAAGCAAGCGAGAAGCAAAATGGATTTACCTTTCATATTTGGCCTAAAAAACTTCATTATACACCCCGCTATGTAGACAAAGAGACACACTTTACCCTTCTGCCTGGGGCTACCAAGAAAGCCATTTCAATTCAAACTGCATATGTTTAGTATACTAATGACATGAACATGTCGGGGCAATAATTTTGCGGTGGACAGGTCACAGAGAAGTTGGGAATACAGTAAATAGCTACACAGTAAACAGTAGAGAACACAGGATGGCAGGTGGACACGCAACTAAATATGAAGTGATACATGTTGCTAGCACAAACAAGAGCCTTTATATGCCAAATGGTACAAGTTTGAAGGTGAATACAAGAGAGATCTCGGGGTATTTCTGCACAAGTCAGTGAACGCATGAGCAGATCACAAACCAGGTAACAGAAGATTTGGGGTCTGGATTTTAGTACAAAAGCCAGAAGGTTATGTATAGCACATGAGAAATTCTGGTTTGGCCTTAGCTGGAGTACTGTGCCAAATTCTGGGCACACTTTAGGAGAGATGTGAACGGATGTGAGAGATGTGAGGGAAGTGTACGGTATTACCAATACAAATCCAGAGATGAGAATTGCAATTATGTGGATTGACTGGAGAAACGGTCTTGCACTCCTTACAGCAAGGAAAGCTAAAAGCTGTTTAAGATCACAAAGAGCTTAAATAAAGTTGATTTGCTTCCAATAGCTGAAGGTGAATAACCAGAAAATTGAAATTTAAGGTTACTGGCAAATGGTCCAGAGACCACGATGAAAATAATTTGGAATGCACTGCTACAGAATGGTGATTACAGGCTCAATAATAACCTTCTAAAGAAAAGCAGGTAAATACTCAAAGCAGAAAGTAAGTGCAGGGATATGGGAAAAGGGTGGGACTAAACAGATTACTCTTCAAAAAATTCAACTTGCAGATTTGATGGAACAAATGGCCTCTTCTTGTATTGTACAATTCTACAAATACAAAAACATAACACTCAGCAAAACTCAAAGACAGAACTAGAAGTGGTGTGACAGACCACTCAAAAGGAAAGACTATGAGGATGAGAGACAGATCAAAATTCTTGAAAACAGCTTCTCTGGACTTTCTGCTTGGATTTCAGAGCAGAGATAGAGAGATAAGTGAATCTGATACTTTTAAAATGGAAACTATTTTGTGGTTGATGTAAAACAAACATATTAATCTTGACTAACCAGTGAACTCTCAACAACAAAAACAAACTACTGTTTGAATCAGTTTAGGAAACTGCACACAGGGAAGATTTCCTACTTTTGTACTCTCAAGTAATGTCAATGTCACTGGACTAATGATCAAGAGATCCAGGCTAATGGTCTGCAAACATGGATTCAGTTGCAATATGGCAACTGCTGATTTTAAATTCAGTAAAACAAAATCTGAAATTATGAGGATTCCACAGGGCGTGAGATGATTATTTAAAAAGGAACAATTTGCAAAAGTAGGGTGAAAAGGCAGGTGAATGGAACTAAGTCATGAAGGGCATTTGGAGATACGTTGTAAGCACGGTGAGCCAAATGGCATCCTTCTCCACCATTCGGATTCTGTGGTCTGCGATTTCCATCCTGACAAATTAATTGACAGAAAACGTATAAAGTTCACTAATACGTTTATGATTCTATTTGCTCCCAACACTTGTTTAGTGGTAGATCTCATGAAATGGCTAATATAAATACTTTAATCAAGTGTTCAAAAAACAAATTCAATCTTACAATGATCTGCTGGTCTGGGGGAATAGATTCTAGAGCTTTCTGTATCACACGACAGCCGTACATCTGCAGCGCCAAAGATAGAACATGTCCACGAATACGTTGAGCTAACGCCAGCTTCTGATCCAAGCTTCCAAACTAAAGAACATGGAGCAAGCAAATTTTACCAGAACAAATTCAGCCATTCCACCACCTACATGTTTTTATATAGCACCGCACAATATCTACAGCACAAACAGGATACTGTTATCCCCCACATAAGCGTTATGTCATGTTAACCTATCCGCTTATTCTTCTATTTGTTCTTCATAACCACACTATTTGACATATAAATTTCACATCACACACTATGCTCAAGGCAAAGATGTTTCTCGTGAAGTACTTTTGAAAGATTTCCGTGGAAAACTGAATGCAAATGGATTGAACTCAGGGTTTGATAAAGTTTGTGTTTCCAACCAATGAGCAGATGCTATATTTTTAATTTTTTTTTAAAACAGAAAGATCTGCTATGTTCCCTTGATCTGTAGCTGAGCCAAACACCAGCAAAGCCTCAGATTCTATTTCCAGTTAGAGATTTCAGCCACAAAGCCATGGAAGGCACATGGCAACTTATTCCCATAAATTTGAATTAAGAATAAATAAAACTATTCTCATGAGCATGAGGTAGCCTTCCTGCTGGAGGATACTTTAACGTGGATCAGACCAAGGTTAGGCTGGGAGTTACAAGATGTTGCCTGCATGCCACAAAGGAAGGGCAAAAATAGGCAAGAAAGTGTAGGCGGGGAGAGAAATGGACGAACGAATCTAACATGCTACTATTAAATATTTCAAAATTAGAGAGATTCCCAACATGTGCATACATTTGGTTTTTTAACAGAGGGGTAACCCAATCCACCAATCTGAAAATTCTACGTTGCTTTTAATATATTTGTCTAATGTTAGTCCAATGTGGAGGCATTAATTGGTAATGTTTTCCTTGGATCTTTAGCATCAGCAAAGTAACAGAAACTCAAGCCATAATTCCCCTAGCCTTGTCACCATACCTCACAACCCGCCTGGTTTTGACAAAATATCTTATGAATGGAGTGTAAAGTTTGCTACTTACCTCAAAGAATTTCTGAATTACATAGTTTCCAAAAACATCGACCATCAGTTGATAAGCTGCCTGTAGTATTTCATTAAAAACCAGCTGTCTTTCAGCAGGAGTGGCCCGTTCCAATTTAAGTTGAATAAATCTATAGGTAACAAAATATTTTAAAGGGTGTATATGACGGCAATACTGAAACTACAACTTTCTACTCCAACTATTACTTTAAGGAAGTGACGTGAAAGGCTCTGTCACATGTACCAATTGAATTTTGGTCTCTCTGTTCTGAACTGGTTCTGAAATTAACAGCCACTTGGAATGTACAACCTGGGTTACATACCAGGCATGAATATTTCCCTGCTGTCCTGGCAGCCAGATGTAGCTCATTCCTGCAAAACCCCACACAGCAAATTTTCCAGTCTTGGCTCTGCCAACTTGCGCCCACCGAAAACAGAAACTGAAATCTCTCCACAAAAAATTCATTGGGGTAATCCCAAATACCTTCCCAGGACAGCAGCAGTGAACATCTAAGTATATGCAGACCTAGTAGAAACCACACTCAGCTCAGGGATGCATGCAACAAGTGGTGAACAGACTACATGATGCAGTTTAAGAATCTGGCTGCTGTAAAGCAGAAAATTTTCACAGTATTCACGCAAATGTAAAATTCAATCACACAGAAACAAGTAAATGGATGCTTTGCAGAGAGACAGCAAGACCTCCTACGTCAATGTGAAATGTTAATATATGCTGCCATACATCATAAACTTTAGCACTCCCTCACCCAAACTGGTTATATAAACGTACCTCATCACTCTGAATGACTTAACAGCTGCCGCTGTGCATTATCATACAGGCTTTATCTACTCACAGTGCTGGATGAACTGTGAAGTACAGAACAGCAACTGTTTTCTTATATGCTTGTGTGCATTTCCACAAATAACTCTCAGTTCTCGGCAAAATATTTTTGCACACAAAAGCTTTGTGGGAGCATGAAATACTTTTTGCCTCATTTGCTTCTTTGCATGGATTGCACTGTGATAACATAAAAATAATTCGGCACCTTCCTTTCAAACCAGTACTTGTATTTATTCCAACATGCACAAACTGTCAAGTGGCTGTTCAATCTTGCGATGAAACTGCCCTCTTCTTTAAAAAAAAGTACAAAAGTGCCAAAGGTAATTAGTTTTCCATATTTTCTGAGCATCTCAATTTAAATGATCTCATCAATCAACCAGTTTAAATGTATCCATCAGGTTAAGCAGGCACATGGCTAGTAGTATTTAGCATAAATAGTCATGAAAGAAGCATCTTAAAAAGGAAAGTTCTGAAGAGGCAGTACAAGCCAGGCTAAATACATTAAAACAAACAACTTAAAAGTCTAATTACAAGAACCAAATATTAAGACAGGAAAAAGAAAACGGAAGGACTGTGGATGCTGTGAATCAGGAAAAAAAACAAAGTTGCTGCAAAAGCTCAGCAGGTCTGGCAGCACCTGTGAAGGAAAAAACAGAGTTAACGTTTCAGGTCCGGTGACCCTTCCTCAGAATGGACAGAATGACAGAAGAACCTTCCTAATAAAGCAAACATCCAAAGACTGCTCACTCGCACTTGCCTTTCCCAACATCATTCCCTTTTAGATCGGCTTGATTTGTTTAAGCAAGTTTTCTCTCCATCTCCTTTTGAAGTGCTAATGTTTGTTCAGGCACAGTTATAAGCGGAACCAGTACCCTTCAGGTATCTTCATCAAGTATAGAGATAACAAGGTGGAGAGCTGGATGAACACAGCAGGCCAGCCAAGCAGCATCAGAGGAGCAGGAAAGCTGACGTTTCGGTCCTAGACCCTTCTTCAGAAATGAAGAAATCAGAAATTCTGAAGAAGGGTCTAGGCTCAAAACGTCAGCTTTCCTGCTCCTCTGATGCTGCTTGGCCTGCTGTGTTCATCCAGCTCTACACCTTGTTATCTCAGATTCTCCAGCATCTGCAGTTCCTACTATCTCTTCATCAAGTAAGCTGGGCTGTGCTCAAGCACTAACAGCCAATTCGACGTTTTGGGAATTGAGCGAGTCCAGATCTGACTTCAATTCTATTCTTACCAACAATTAGACACGTGCATTTAACAGAAAACACTACTCAATCAAGTGTGGCAACCCTAGCTGCAACAGTGACCGCAAATCTAAACATAGTGCTCAAGTTGCTGCCTAGGACAATACTGCAAGACTAGGGATCAAAACTGACCCCTTTTCTGATTTGTCTCACCGAGTTGAGCAATAAGCAATGGCTTAACTAAGTTCGCAGGGAGGTGATGCTCAAGTCTAACGCATTACTTCCGCATTGGCAGATTTTGACGAATCAATAGTCTTCCCCTACCTAAAGTACTTGGCTGTATTTAAGTGATTTCACCATACCTTGAACCGTGTTGATCCTGAGAGAATTCCATGATGTGGCCCGCTATTTCACGCAGTTGAAGGTTTGGGTAGCGGTTATTACGGAAGTCTTCCAGTAATCTGCTGCGCCCGGATGGCATCACATCAGACATGCTATACCGCAGGCGGGATGGTGGAAACAACTGACTGCTGGAGCTAAACAGACTGGAGGCACTGTTGACACTTCGGTACTTGGCTTCAGCACCCGGGGCAGCAGAAATAAATCTTCCACTTCCATTGGTCAGCCCGCCTGTGATTACAAATGTATCAAAAGGTTGATATTATTTCAACCACTCAACCTCCATTTAACTACATATTGTTAACGGTGATTTTAAAAATCACATGATAACATTTTTAAATGGTCGGCAAGTTCCTCACGGTAGCTCAATTTTTTAAAAAATGGCTTACTGTTTAAAGTTGTAGACTATTTCAGTGAGTTAACCTACAGATGAGTGCTGCTGGATAAGTATAGTATATGCAGTACAACACTAGTCCCAATCAAGGGTATTCACTGTGACTTGAAGCCAACAGGCTTTTTAAATTTTATGCAACAGAACCAACTTAAAAGTAAAACTCTACGTGACTACACACTAACCACTAATTGACATGCACACAAAAACACATTGCTAAAATAATGAGGTGGATTGCTGGCTCAGCCCGTGAGTACAAAAATTAGTCTCATAAATGAGCAGTATATAACAGCTCTCAGTGAGGGCAAGTGTGTCATCATCGCCAAGTACTGCAAACACCTCCAGCCATTATCTGTGCATTAACAGCTTCAACTTGAGATACAAACAAATTTTCCCAGCAATGTCTGCTTTTAATCAAGGCATTCAAACTAAGTGTAACAATTTAGAAAACCGCATCGCAGTCTGCTCATAAAGCTATACTTTGTGGCTTCGTAAGATTTCAGATATTCCTTTTGTTTTAAAACTGCTTTAATTTCTGATAGAGATAGAAATTTGCAACAAAGAAAATCTTTGTAATAAGAGAGCTACCCACCCCTCTTACCCAGGTTAAGGCTCGATGATGATCCATGGGATGATAATGATGGTGGTGGTGTTAGCGAGTGGCTGGGACCCTGGTTCGGAAGAGGCATCCCTACTGGGCCAGGAGATGAAGAGAATCCTAACCCATTGTAAAAGTTGTGGCCAATGGGAGCAAGGCTGCTGGTCGTTCGCTTGTACAGATCAGAGCTACCAGTAAGGGAGTCTCTTCGTGAGCCACTGCTGGTGTTGGAGCTTCCAACTTCAAAACAAAGTTGAAAATAAATTATTACTTTTGATCACCTAGAATAATCACACATGCATATCTACAAATTGACCTGTCCAATTCTTTGCGATAAGAACCAACTAATTTTCATTTGGCAACTTTAATGTATTTTGCCGCATTCTTCGGTCTTTACAAAAGAAAACTAAATGTGTTTAACGAAGAGATATAAACTGGTTCTTTCTTTTAAGCACAAAACTCAAATCCGTTCCTCATGTGGACAGCTCTGCATAGGAAATTAAATGTTGTTTTAACACCATGGCCTCTGCAGATCAGAAAGACTCTTCACTAACTTCCAAATTCGGTCCATGCATGCCCTGAAGTAACAAACCCCAACACATATTTTTGTAAAACTTGTCACTGTCACCATGAGTTCAGTGAAGCATAATGGCAGATGTGTCAAATCCATGCAGCATCTATTTAAAATGGTAGACAGCACTCAGCCACAAATACAGATATGTCTTCAAACTTGCCTTGTGTCTGAGAAGGGTACTTCTAAGCAAATATTACAGCAGAAAAACTGGTGATTGCACACGTGAATTAGCTACCATACAAAATAAAACAATTAGAATAGTGCCGAGGAGTCCTTGGATGTGATAAAACTGACTGTGACAAGACTGAAGTATCACGTTGCAATTTGTTAAGCATGTGTCATTACCATTTACTTCAAGTGAATGCATCAAAACCCGGAAACAGATTATTGCCTAGTACTTTCCGAGTTTTTACGTTGGAGGTGGTTTTAACTGAAAATAAATTAGGCTTCAGTCTCCTAAGTACATCTAAAGACCACAATTAATTTTACGACAATATTTTTGGTAGGTAGCCAATCAGCTATGAAGACACATGCCTGCAAGAAAACATGATGCTTCAGTTCAATACAGCTCATTCAGTGTTTTAATGTTGCGCAGTTTGCTCTGCATTCCTACAATTACAAATGTACCTGCTGATCCAAATCCGCCAAGCGCAGATCCAAGTGTAGCCCCAAGTGAACTAGTGCTTCCAAAGCCCAGGGAAGTGCTGCCTGGCTGGCCAGACCCCTGAGAGAACAGTGAGTTGCTTTGTGAAGTGCTCGACAGGGAATTGTTACCATAGAAGGAGTTAGAGGCCAAACTATTGGTAGGCTGTTGCTGCGGCTGTTGCTGTGGCTGTTGGTTGCCCATTGGGCGAAAGGAGCCATTTGCTGTCCCGGCGAGGCCACTCGCTGTACCGTTTGCGGAGGCTGCTGCGGCGGCAACTGTTGGAAGAGAAAACAAGATCCACTGCAATGCCAGCTTTTAAATGGGAATGGAGTATGAACAGAATAGGAACAGAAATATTGCCAACTTTGTTATGATTTATCTACATCTAAAAACATCACTGTCATGAGGGTGGTACCGAGCCTCATTCCACTGGAGATTTCACATCAGCAACAATCTTTCTTTACAACAATTTGTGGTTACAATGATGTCACATCAAAGGCACACACGTGACCAACCCCATTCCCACAAGGTCCCGGTGGAATTTGGTTGTTGTTAATACTGCTTAACAAAATAACACACAAGGTTCTACAGCACGTTTAATGCAACAGAAACAAAATAAATGGTTAGGACTGCTGCCTCACAGCACCAGGGACCCGGGTTCAATTCCAGCCTTGGGTGACTGTCTGTATGGAGTTTGCCCATTCTGCTTGTGTCTGTGTGGATTTCCTGTGGGTGCTTCAGTTTCCTCTCTCAGTCCAAATATTTGCAGATTAGGTGGATTGGCCTTTGTAAATGCAGGGTTGTGGGGATATGGTAGGATGCTCTTCAGAGTGTCAGAGCAGACTCAATGGGCCAAACGGCCTCTGTCTGTACTGTATTCTATGAAAAATATAAAGTATTAGGTCATTAAATGGTACAATGTTTGATTAAGTTGTGACATCACTGCACCTTCTAATAAAAGCAAAATATGCAGATACTGCAAACTTGAAATAAAAACAAAGAGGGCTAGAGTATGACTTCTTTGAACCTTGTGTTGTCTTGGTCTCAAAGTGTTAACTTCCTTTCACTCTCCAGAGACATTGCCAGACCTGCAGAGTTTCTCCACCTTTAGTCCACTGCATCTTGTTTTATTGCATCCCTTTTGAACTTACTTGTGAATGATGTTGGCTAAACCATCTTATTCTGCATTCCCAATTGCCCTACAAATGTGGCATTCGTTGGGAATGCAGTATGCAATGGAGTCACATATAGTAGGAGCATATTACTGCGGATGCTGTACTGAAAACAAATGCTGGAGATCACAGCGGGTCAGACAGCATCCATGGAGAGAGAGCAAGCTAACGTCTTGAATTTAGATGACTCTTCATCAGAGCTGAAGTGTGGAGGTTTATGCTATAGTGGGGCGGGGGGGAATTTCACAGCAATAGGTAATTGCACTCACTTTGCTGGAATATTATTGGCATGGAAGGCTTACAGTGCATAAGAGAAGGGGTGAATGCAGAGTTAGTCCTAGAACAAGTGGGGTTTAAGCTACAAATAACTATGCAATAAGTGTTAACTTTTCCATAACCAGCATAATTCAATTTGAGGAGCACAAAATTTGGCAGAAAATTAAAACTAATTAAGGGAATGTTAATATATAGATTCAAAGTTAGTTTAGTGACAGAACAATTCTCCTTATATGCAGAAGGCATACAGTGGTGAGCCCCAGGGGTCAGTACTGTCATGATAATATAAAATACAGACCATTAATCTTTTCAATCTCATGAATAAGTTTACAAGCTTTGGATTATGGTTCAAGAGAAATGCAGCTATAATGCAGGGTTACTGTGTGTGTAAATGCACGGAATTGTTGTAAATAAGATCAGGGAATTATTGGCACAAATTGCCATGTGGAACTATGATGTTCTGGCGATAACAAAAACCTGGCTCAAGGAATAGCAGGACTGTGTTAAATATTTCAGTGTACAAGATGTTCAAAAAGTATAGAAGGGAACAAAAAGAAAGGGGAGAGAGGGTGGCAGCAGCATTGGCTAAGGACAACATTGCAAGGCTGGAGAAAGATGACGTCTCAGAATCAGAGTAGATTTAGCTTGAGCTAAGGAACGAGGGGGGCAAAATTACGATTGTTAGGCCGAGTCTATGGATCATCGAGCAATGGAGGATTTACAGAAATAAATTTGCAGGGAGATTACAGGGACGGCAACATTACACGTTGCAGTTATAATGGGGAACTTCAATTACTCAAACGTAGACTGGGATACTAGTAGTGTAAGGGGCAAGTTTTCTAGGATTGTGTTCAGGATAATCTCCTGTAGCAGGGTGTGTCTGGTCCAACAAGATTCTTGGAGATGAGGTGGGCCAAGTAGATCAAGTGTTACAGGGAGCAGAATTAGGAGTGATCATCGTATTGTTAGGATGACGGTAGGGAATGACAAAGGTCAATCCAGAGAAAGAAAAACCAACTGGTGGACAACAGACTTCAATGGAACAAAATCAGAGCTGGGCCAGACAAAGTGGAATGAAAGATTGGCAGGGAAAGCTGTATGAGAACAATGGGCTACCTTCAAAGGTGGTGATGGTTCATGTAAATCAAAGGGAAAGGTAGGACAAACAAATCCAGAGGTCCTTGGATGACAAAAGAAATGGCGATGGAGATTAAGACTAAGATAAAGAAAAGAAAGTAAATTTGTGATAGGTGCTAATTAATTACTATAATTGAGAACCAAGAGGAATACAGAAAGTTCAGAGAGAAGGGAAACAAGCTTATTGGAGAAGCAGAAAGGAACTATGAGAAAAGACTGGCAGCTGACACATAAGGAAATCCAAATGTTTTCTATCAATATATAATTAGTCAATTGTGGTACAAGGAAGAATGGGACAAATTATGTACCAAAAAGGGAATTACCACGTACAGGATCACAACATAGCTTAGCTGTTAGATGAACAAAGGAATCTGCCTTTACCAATGAGGCAGATGCTTCTACCCAGGCCGCAGTGACAGAGGAGGAAATTCTGTCATTAGAATGTTTAAAGTTCATAAGGAAGCAGCATAAAGTTGACATGGAGGTGCATCTAAAAACAGTGAAGGAAGCAACAGTGGAAACTGCAGGGCGATTAGGAATAATCTTTCAGTCTTCCTTAGATTCAGGGGAGGTGCCAGAAGACTGGAAAATTACAAACACCACATCTTTAACCTATTCTGAAGAAGGGCAAGTCCAAGTCAGTTCAACTTCAGTGGTTGGGAAATTTTAGAAATTATTATTTGGGATAGAATTAGTAGTCACATGAAAAACGGCAGGTTGATTAATAAGAGCTAGCATGGATTTCTGAAAGGGAAAGTGTTTAACTAACTTTGAACAAGTAACAAAAAGGGTAAATGGAGTTAATGCTGCTCATGCAGTGCACATGAATTTCCAGAAGATACTCAACACAGTACCAAAGTGCAGACTTGTGAGAAAGCATAGTTTATAAACTGCAAAATGGATAGCGTTCAGCTTAAAAAGTACGTTGTCAAATTGGCAGAGTGTGCAGATAGGTGGTAGATGAAGTGCAATGCAGATGAGCGAGAGGTGATGTGTTTTGGTAAGGAATGGATTCATAATACAAGGAGCACACTTCTAAAGGGGTGCAGAAGCAGAGGGAATTGGGTACATATATGGAAAGGTCCCTGACATGGCAGAATAAGTAGAGAAAACATTTCATTAGGAATAGAGCAATGGGCAATATTAATAGGGCACAGCATATTAGAGCAAGACGGTATCGCTGAACTTGTTCGAGACATAGAATCTGTTAGACCTCAGCTGGAATACTGTGCACAGCTTTGGGTGCTACATTTTTGGAAGGAGGCAGCACACAGGAGATTTAAAAGAATGGTTTGAGGGAGATAACTTCAGAAGATAACTGGAGAGGATGGGGCCCTTCTATTTGGAGAAAAGGCAGCAATGAGGAATTATGATCATTTGCCTTCAAAATCATGAGGGAGGCTGGATGTGCCCACTTGTGAAAGGCTCAAGAATGAGAGGGCACAGATTTAAAGTGATCTGCAAAAAAAAAATGACAAAGACAAAACATTTTCACATGAATAGTCTGGGTCCAAAATGCACTATACAATGTGATAGAAGCAGGTTCAATTAAGGCACTGAAGAGGGCAGATTATTTAAATAGAAAGAATGTGCAAGCTATGGGATAATGGAGGAGAATGGCACTAAGCCTTGATACTCATTTGGTGAGCCAGTGGAGGTATAATGGGCTGATAGGCCTCCTTCTGCAGTGCAAAACACCTCTGATTCTATGAGCTAGGACATATTAAAATGCCCACCAAAATTATCTTACCTGAAAGGAGTCATGGTCACAGGAATTCACAAAGAAATGTCTAAATAGTATGACTGAGACTCTTGTCTTGAAAGGCTACCCCAAGGAGCAATTACCTGGACACAAATTCATCATCTGCAATGTATAGCTCACAGTAAGACCAACTAGGGTCACTAAGAACAAGACTTGACAAAATGGGTATTGCTGGAACAAAGACTTCAGTCTCAAACAAAGAGAGGACTAAAACCATCCCTGACCCCAAATCTATATCTAAGGATTACAGAGAAACTAACCAAACCGTCGATACTGTATGGAAAAATTGATTTTTTTCATTGTGAGCAATTAACCAGCTAAGACACATTAAAGAATACCTCCTACAAAGAAGCAGGATTTAATGTCTGTATTTTTCCTGTGGGTATACACATTCTGAAACCTGGAGTAACATCTGAGAATTTGCAATAATATCTAGAATAAGGAGTTTCTATCCCTGTCTTTGGATGTGGTGCCCAGTTCTGCAAAAAAAGTGATCTGCTCTGAGAGAAAGCTGACTGCAAAACTTGAGAATTTCAGTAACTACAACATTCATTGCAACTGACTACATCGAAATGCCCAGGTACTCATGGTCAGCCTAAAAGATGACCAAAGGGCTCTATTCTTTTATCTTTTGTATTGGGCATTGTTCCTCTGTAACTTTACATATATGAGAGTGTGTGTTTGCACGTGCATGTGTACACACACAGGCTATGTTGCTGCATGAAGATTTTTTGACATTGTGTTTTTATTATTTTCACTGAGTTCAACAGTTCACAAATTTCTTCTTTGACACAAGAAAATCCTATTGACTGCTCCCTTTTGCTCAGAGCAAAAACAGCTAATTACATTCTTAATTGGAGAAGTGTCATACAAAAATAACTCAAAAATCTTTATTGTGGCCAACCAAAACTAGTTCACATCTTTTCATCAGGTTGCAAAAGTACTGAGACCATTGCCTTTCTTAATCTATATTAACGACCTAAAATCAGGTATACAGGGCACAATTTCAAAATTTGTGGATTATGCAAACTGCCAACTTTGAGGAGGACAGCGAACAAATTCAAGAGGACGTAGACAGTTGGAATGGGTAGGGACATAGCAGGTGCAATTTAATGCACAGGAATGAAAAGTGATTTTTTTGGGAGTAAGAACATGAGACAATGAAAATTAGAGAGTACAATTCTACAGGGTAATACAAGAACAGAAGGACCTGGAGAATACATGCCCACAAAGCACTGAATGGGATGGTAAGTTGAGAAAACAGTTAAAAGGAACAGACGGTCTTGAGCTCAATGAAAAAGAGTACAAAAGAAGTCTTTTAAATTTCTTATAAAACACCAGTTTGGTCTCAACTGCAATAGTGTGCACACAATTCTTGGAACGCATCTGGGGGGTGTGGTTGAAGATTCATGAAAAAAGACTGTGAAAGAATTGCTTCAGTTACGTGGATAGGCTGAAGTTGGTGTTGCGCTCCTTAGCAAAACCATCATCAAGGGGAAATCTGATAGAGGTATTCAAGAGCCGAGGCAAACTTACAGGGAGATCAGTTCATAGCGGCAGAAGGGTAGGGAACATACCACACACAAAAAAACGTGACTGGCAGAGGAACCACATATTTTTACAAGTTACGGTCTGAAACGCACTGCTTCAAAACTTATAGTGACGGATTTAACATCGGCCTTCAAAGACAAATGAATAGGACCGGAAAGGGGAGTGATTTTTTTGGGGGTAAGAGGATGGGAGGAGGAAGAAGGGAGGGGGGGGGTTGGAGCTGGCTGGGTAGGGGGCGGGTAGCAGGAAATGCTGAACTGTTGTTGCAGACAGCTGGCATACGCTTGATGAGTCAAAATGCCTCCTTTTATGCTTTAACCATTTTGAGATTTTTTTGACTGGAATAGCTCACTGCAGCAGAAACAGATTTGCGGAGCAGGCATCTAAAATGACACAATGACCTACCATTATTGAGTTAGAGGCACCAAAAGTGATAAAAGTTTGCAAATGTAAGTGATTTCCTTCCCGTTTTGAAACGAAACAAACCTTACCTGCCTGTGCTGCAGATGGACTTATGATTACAGGTGCTGGGGCAACGAGCCTTACAGGAGCTCCTAGACCATTCCGAGCCCCAGTATTCACAACGAGGGCACCAGTCTGGTCATAGTAAGCAGCTGGAGCTAGGACTTGATAACCTGAAATTAAAAAGTGTTCAAGATATACCCATTTGTACGTAGTACCATATATTGGCTCAAGTAGTTACAAAGAAATGCCAAAGTGAAATACAGTAATGTGAAACAGCCTGGCATTAAAAAAATCATAATCAACACTTTATAGTTCAGCATTCATTAGAAGTTTATTTGTCTTCAGCGTCTCAGCTGACAAATTTAACGTGCGGAGTGTGACAGTCATACATAACAGAAATATAGCACACAATCCCCAGCAAAGGAAATGAAAGAGGCCTCAATACCTGCATGCTAGGTAAAAAAATCAACAATTTCTCAGTGGAAAATCCCCCTTTGGAAGTTTTCCCTAGTCAAACTGCCTACCAGTCACAAGAGTCATCATCATCCAGGATGGCCTAAAATGGGTTTGCAACACACTGAACCTGGTCTCCGTCACACACCTCCCCATCTCCCAACATCACATGCCTTCACAAGCTGCCAGCTTATTGAACCTTCACTGATGATGTTATAATTACCCTTTGACTAGATGTTCCATACTCTCCTGACTGAGATTCCATATGTCAATTCATCTGAAGATCTGCTGCTTTTATCCTCGTGGGCTCCTGGCAGTCCAAAACCTGACATTTAAACTTCATCACGGCTCTGTCGCTCCTCATCTTTTTGGCTCCTCAGTGTCCCCTTCCTAAATCTCTTTCACCATTTCAGGTTTTTAGTGCAACCCCTTCCTTCTGCCAAAGACAACTAGGTCTTCAGGTCACTTGGTCCAATGTTTTGGAATTCCTTTTGAGAACCTGTCAACTCCTCCTCTATGTTTATGAACTTTTCAAAACAACCTATATTATTTCTTTGAGCAAGCTATCTTCTTTTGCCAACAGTAGTACAAAGCTTTGATTATATCCCAGTAAAACGTTGAGACATTTTTCCGAGCCAAATCTACTTGGCAATCACAGCTCTTGAAATCATTATCTTTCAACTCATCTGAAAATCAACCCGCTCCCATAAAGTTACATTCAGGCATGAAAACTGGTAATAACATGACAATTTTGGATTGAAATCCTCTTACTAAAGTAGTTCCATGACAAAACATGCAGGTCCAGTGAATTTGTAGTATGTAGTGCTTTAATCAAATTAGTAACTAGGCTTGAAGTATGTTATTCAAAACATCAAACTATTACTGTCTGGCTCAGATACGTTTGAGTACAAATGAAGTTTTCATAACTGAAAAATATTCTCAGTGAGGGCAAATGTGTCATCACTGCCAGACAGGTTCAAAAATGAAAATATTGCCATCAGTGCTTCACTTTAAAACTTCCAATGCAGTGTGTAAACTGCCTTAAAATCAAAGATTAATCTAATTAATATTTAATTTGGCATTCTGTTAGCTTGTACTGAACTGGTTAGTTTTAACCAACATTTCTGTGCATGTAATATTACAAATTGTGAGAATGGTTTCTTTTTTGACCTTGTGTTTCAGCAGTGACAGCAAATCCAACAATAATACCAGTAACTTACGCAATAACCAAATACTAAGCACTTGGAATCTTAGCTGGTGCTACAATCAGGTCTACAGGATCCTCAGAAATTGCAAAAGTAGAAAAGGTATTTCTAAAATTAAGCTAGTCTGTTTTCTCTAATTTAAGAGTTACTAAACATGCCTATGAAAGATCCTGTTCTAAGCAATCTTTATGAGTGGTTTGGTTAGAATTGTATATCTGGCAGAAACGCGCTTTGTGACAATTTGTGTTTTCAATTGTAAATTCATAAAAGTGAGGAAACCTGATCAATTACTTGTTCGACTTTATGAAGTTCTACAATTGTCGATTAACTGGTTTGTAATGCAACAAGCATTCTTTAAACCATTATTCTACATCCCACATCACTGTCGTCAAGTAATGCATATATCTACAGCACCTGGAATCAATATTTTACCTGGCATTCCAGTGGCCAATCCCTGGCTAAAAGCCAGGGCTGAATTCACAGCTGCAGCGGCTACCAAGCTGTCTGCTTGTTGTCCTTGCTGGCTTTGATTTGGGGTCAAAGGACGCTGATTGGCTCCAGCTCGCAGAACCTGGAATAAAACATATTGGATGACTGGCATTGATGCGTAATGCCCGGTTGGACAAAGTGATTTCACTAAGATCACAACCAGAAGATATTGCAACACAGATCATTACCAAACACGATTCAGAGGATTTATTCTAAGTAGCGAGGAGAGTCACCTCAGGCATCATTATTAAATATCGAGGAAGAAAGGTTGTAAATGCATCTTACTAATCGTTTCCCTTCTTTTCTTGAATATGCTGACTCGTCACTAAACTATTACTGTACAGGCACCAACCAACTTGTGGGCTTCACGTGAACATATGTGCCTCAACAGTGATCCTCAGAGCACTTCTGCAAATGGGAGGGGGGTGCGGGCGGGCACTGTGTGTGAGTGTGTGTGTGTGTATGTATGTGTGAGAGAGAGAGAGAAAGAGAGAGAAAGAGAGAGAGAGGGAGAGAGAGAGGGAGAGAGAGAGGGAGAGAGAGAGGGACAGAGAAGTCACAACCCAGCTTTATTGTGCCCACACTCTCACATATCGGTTACAAACTGGTACACAGGTAATTGGATTAAGTATATTTGCTTATCCCAACCAGGCATTCAGACAAACTATAAAATACACACCTTCTCCTACCCTGCATATACACCAAACCCTCAGTATGTTTTAGCAAAGGAGAAAAATTTCAACTCAAGTTAGTCGAAAGATGCACTCCCCAGGAATCGTCAAGATAGATTCAAGAGCTCAAATTTATATAAAGATGAAGTCAACACTCAAGCACCAACGTTATCACTTCGACCTGCAGCAATATACTTGGTCTGTCTCATATCTTTCCGAGTACAAAATTGAAATTCTAATTCATGAACACTGTTCTCAGTGAGGGCAGGTGCATCATCATTGCCAGGCTGACCTTTGCAAACCAAACAACAGCACTTAGTTGTAACACTTTAGTTCCACGTGCAGAGCCTTTGAAGACCACTGGAGACAAATACAACTTCACAATTTACAACTTCAAAACCAAATGAGTTACATCCGGCAATGGCTCTAATAATAGCCTTCCTTAACATTAATTTATTGTAAGCCAAGTAAACAAATAGATGTATTCTATGATTACTTTTACTTCACAGTCTACGTAATCTTTAAAACACACAGTGAGGTAGACAAATCTGTTTCTATATTTACTCAGCTTCCTTGACTCAGTGTCAATTCATTCCTGTACCAAGTTATAAATGGATGGATGACTTGCCTGTTGCTGCCCTTGCTGTGCCTGTGACGCAGCCTGCTGGTTTGCAGAGTTGTTAGCAGCTGCTGCTGCAGCTTGCTGCTGGAAGAGATTTGCTGGATAAACACCCCATGGAACACCATAATACTGAGGTGGAACCACTGCCGGGCCTATCACAGTAAAATAGAGATTTTTTTAAAATGCACTTCACACAAACTTATCTTTTTGCAATACATGAAACTATCTAGGTGAAATCATAATAAAACTTTCATTTAATTAGATGTTCCAAAAATGTCCTTAGTGTCTACTGGACGTGCCATTCTTTTATGCAATCAAAGTATTAACACAGGATAGATATCTTCATATTTGTGCATCCTAATTTTCACCACCACCACCCCCCACCCCACCCCAGACAGGTTAGTACAATTATATTTGCCGACTATGCCTTAATAAATTCTGGATCTCTACTTTTCCAAAAAAGAAAAGCATAATTAAGTATGGTTCATTACAGTGGATGTTATTTAATTAAACTAGGAATGGGTCGGTACCTCAGTTAAAATTAGCAGCAATTAAACCCTGACGACTTCTAAAGATGACCAATACAGAACAGTACGCTTGTCATTTAAACAAAAACGAGATTACACAGGCACACTTCAAAACACAGCTGAACGAAATTTCCTTCAAGGTGAATTGATCTCACCTATGCCATCCGGGGCCGGCCGTTTGCCTACACAGGGAGGATGGAAAGAAAAGTTGCTTTGACAATGAAGTCAACCACTTGTGTTGTCTCTTTGCTTCCAGATATATTAACATTGGCGAAGTAAAACCCAAACCTAACTTGTACATTACCCATTGAATACTGTGCAGTTATAAGACACACCTTTCAATTCATGCTCCGAGGGAGCCAACTGAAAATTTACTTGAAATGAATTGTGGAATAAAGGAAGCCTTAAAAATGCTTAATCTGATATCAACACCAATTAAACAAATTAAAAACAGGAGGAGTTCATGGTGTCCAATGGAAGCACACTGTCCACTTAACTACAACGCATACCCCGCTCCCCTCCATCCCCGCACCAAATCCCTTTAGTTAACAAAATCAGTAAAATTACATATGGCATCAACAGGTACAGATTTGATGAGTCATTAGTACCAACAGCCTTGAGCTGGCTCAGATCTTTGAGAAGAAAATCAAAATTCTCATTATCAAACATTTCTGAGTGAGGGCAAGCGTGGTATAATTTTATATGCCGTTTTTGACATATTTTCTTCTTAACCTGAGCAAACAAATTTTCACCATCTTGGAAGTGTCCGTGTTCCCTAAATGTGAATTTGTTTGGAATTAAGATTAAATTATATTTAGCTGATCTGTCTTGTAAACTTTTATCAGTAACCCACTTGGAATGGGCATGAGATTTTGCTCACTGAATAAGTTCATCAGAAGGATTTAAAATATGCAACAGACAACCAGTTATAATTAAAGAAAAAACTTTAAAAAACATGACCTGCGATGGCGCTATGTTTCTCAAGGCAACATTTCATCCTTCAAAACTTCAAATATTGAGCTAGAGTTTCATTGGATTTAGGAACCATGTTTCTGTTAAAAAGGAACTTTGCTGAAATAAAATTATACACACAATGTGTGAGGAGCATTTTAAAGTGTCTCCAGTGTAAGAGGCTGTATTTCATTCTATTTTCTTAAATTAAAGAGCAAATAATGTGCATAGGAATTGCTATAATGCTCATGTTCCTGGACTCTACCTTAAGTGAACAGTGCTCATACACAAAATATCTTAAATATTTTCCAAATGGTATTAATCTATGTGACAATAACTATTAAAAGAAACTTTCACCCGCATTTGTGTGATATTTAAAACAAAAGAGCTGCACGAAAGATGCATGACCACCATGGTAACCTGCCTGATCAGTTCAATGTCTCATTCAAAAGCTACACACTTACTGCAAAACCCAGAAAAAGTCTCTCTCCTTCTCTCTCTCTCTTCCCTCATCCTACACTCAAAAAAAACCTTTGCAAGCCAATGTTTTTTTGGCCCTTATCACACACACATGAACTAGAATTAAAACAAGCTTATTACATCAACAAAAAACAACCAACATAAGAGGTCTTGCACTGACCTTGGAACACAACTTCCTTTGGTGACCACATTCAAACACGCAGCCAATAGGTAAACCAATTAAATTGACAGAAAAATCAGTGTGAACACACGCAGAAAGTATTTGAAAAGAACAGTAAACGAGACCACACGTAGCAGCCTTTTTGAAAACCAACTTTTAGTTGCCAAATTTGCAATGTGCTGCGAATAACTGTAGTTAGTTTTGACATGGTCTATCACGATCACCTAGTCAGACACTGCTCAGCTGCATGCAAAATGCAGCAGTCTTTTCCAAAGTCAACATGATCTTTCTAACTTTCTTGTCAGCTACTTTGTGAAACTGCAAAGACTCAACACTACAGACTGTACACTCAGACTGCACTCAGCTCATTTTGAGCACCAAGAAGAGATTCCAATCCTGGATTTCTCAACAGGTTTTTGTTGCAAATTTTTGTAAGGTACAGTACACACAGTTGGAAAGCTGAAAATTGAATTCCCAATCTCCCAACAGGCTCCAATTTTTAGAACAAAAATTGGGTGTTGGGGTTTGCATAACATTCTAACTCAAATCCTGTCAAAGGCTTCCTTTTGGCTGAAACAAGCAAGCTGCCAAATTAACATATACCATGGACTATCTAGTCTGTTGTCTGACATCCTGACAGCTACAAGGTACAATGGGAACAGATTTGTTAAGTCATCATGCCAACTGCCCTCTTATCAATGAAATCCATCAAGCCCAGACACAAGGCAAGTTAAACCTGGAGAGGTGGAAAGCTAAGGCAACTACGCATAGTCTTCCATATGTTCTTCTCAATGTGCAACATCTCAAAATGATTCATTTTGTAGCTCCAAGTGATTTCCTTGAACAAAATTTGCCCATAACCTGCATTTAGAAGACTCACACTGTTTGCTTACACCGTTTCCCAAGTCAGCCCAATACATGGATTTACTACTCAGCTCAGTTATATAATGATTCTGCAGTTTAGTTCTTAATTTACCCCCACCCCTTTTGACACCAAAGTGCTGACTAAGAGATCCAACCAAGAGTGCCGCCACTTACAAATGAACCATCGCCCACTAGATTGCATTAAATCCAAAATCTTACTACACAGTGCAGTAACTGGGACAACATAAAGTCCAAAAACAGAAAAAGTCATTCAGCATATCCAGATTTCAGCACTCAGAATAATGCAACTTTTTAGAAGTTGAATTCTTCCTTCACTCTTCACCTACAACTTCAAGGATCACTACAGGCCTGCCTTTACCTTCTACTGGAGGAGGGCAATGTGCGGAAGGAAAGAAATCATCAAGCAGTGTTAACTGTCTTCATACAGATCATTATATTTTACCTGCTAGAGTTGCAGCTGCAGCAAGCCCGGCAGTGTATGGATCTGTACCTGGAGGAGCAGCACTAATGATGTATGGATTGGGAACAAAAGTTGCTGGAGCAAGCCCTGCTGAAAACATACCTGTGCAACATATAAAAACCCTACATAAAGTATTTGGAATGACATCTTAAATTTTAAAGCAACAGAGTAATGGCCCAATTGTTCAAGCACATACAAACCAAAATGTGGATTTGAAACGTCGTAAATTAATGTTGATTAGCACAATTTCCACAATCAGAATACAACAGCTTGCACGTAATTACGTATTATTGCTGTTGCGGGGTTAAAAAAAGGCAAGCAAAGAAAATCAGTTCTGCATTTATGGCACTCTTAAAACTTAGTATCTACTGCAAGGGAAAATCAGATAACACTCTCATAGGAAGTTGATTCAAACTAACAACTCATTGTTACTTCAAAAACTCAGGGTCAAATACTTTGCAGATATACATAACAGTAAGAAAATGCATGCATATGTTATTTGTACACACCACAGTAGTAATTCAAATGCATTACTTAAGGTGCCTACTATATTGCATTTAATTCGTGTAACTATAGCTAAAATGGAATGGATGCACTGGTACTGCTTGCAAGACTGCAAGTAACTAAGAAATATTCTAGAAACTAGTTAGAATTAAAATTTTTAAAACAACAATGTACTTCCCACTGCTTCAGTTGATAATGCTCGAAGTGATGTCTTGCCATGACAGGCTAAAGAGTCATCCTGTGCAGACAGCTTGAAAACACCAATAAAGCTTTAACTAACCCACCCATTCCCCAGCCAGCTGAGTGGTTCAAATCATTTGACTACATAAAACGTTCTTGATATTGAATCATTTTTGATTGAGTGCCATGAGTGTCTGAACTTCCAAATGTTCACAATGAATGCAATTTTGCATTTACATCAAAATAGCTATACAATCCCATCATTACAAAGGTTAAGTGGTACCACTGTTTTGGAAAAACTTCTCACAAGATCCAATAAAATGTACTTGAATCCAGTTGGTGAATACACAGCCATTGTAGATGCAAAACATTAGTGAAGCAATATAAGCTTTCTCTCGTTATCCCTGAAACGTTCTGTCATTGAGCTTATAGAAACAAACTATTTAATCTCTCCGTACAGCATTACAATGCTATTACTGCCTTTTGACTACCCAGCAACACTGCACTGTAATAAAATGACAACTGCAGGGGTTTTAACATAGCCTTCAAGTCCTCAAGGGGAATTTCAGAGTTTTAAAATTGAAACAACATTATATCCGAGAAACAATTTACCCCTTACAACCAGTTACCGATCTGTCATTAAACATAATTTAATTTCAATATTCAGTTTATTCAAACATGATTAGAACAGTAAGGACTCTTAAGTAACAGATGAAAAGCTAGTGTTAAGTTGATACTGAAAGGCTTTAATAATACACTTAAGCGGTCAAGCAAACAGATTTAATTTAAATGGCTCTTTTGAGCCTCAATGCTCACACTTAGTATTACTGCTCAATGTACTGACACATCTCCATGAACACCCGATGACTCCACAAGGCAACAAGAGACGTTAATAGGGCCATTAAGTCTAGTTCCCAATTATATTGAATTCTTGTTCAAGTAACAGATGTCATCCTAGCCATTAGTCAGTAATTCTGCCAGAATTTACTGTCACCTGCCCTCCTCCCAGTGTCAGTCACCAATTCATGCACAATTGCTCTCTATAACTTGGATTTCACATTTGCCATCAAATCCTCAACTCCATTTGCTTCACATTAGCAAAGCTAAATATTGTGAACAGCACAAATATGTGAATGATGAAATAATTTCCTATCAGATACTCAGGGGAGTACACAGGTTTCTTAACAAGATGTTCATGAAATTGGCTTACCTATGTGTGGCTGCTGGGCTGCTGCAAGGGCGTACTGCTGCTGTTGTGCAGCTGTCAGCTGCTGAACTGTCAATGCATTCTGTCTCTGAAATAGCTAAAGAAAGAAAGTTTTAAAACATAGGGAATACTGGTCGATTTACTGTGCTTATAGCTCCAGTGGTGTATACGTATTGCATCAACTAGCTCAGCTGTTATCTCCTTCCAGAATTCTGTGCATTCTAAAGGACTACTTCTCAACACAAATTTTAAGCTGCATTCATCCAGCAGTGAAAGACTTGCAGTGTTAACTGTCTCCTCAAAATGGAAAGAATGGCGATTTTTTTTTTTTAAAATGCAAATTTTGAACATCAGGCATTAAACAAAACCTCTACTTAGAATAGCGTTAAGCCAGTGTCACAAGATGTGGAAAGAATCAAACTTTGTTGAAAGAACCAAGTAAAACAGTTAACACCGTATGGGATAACAGTGTGGAGCTGGAGTAACATAGCAGGCCAGACAGCATCAGAGAAGCAGGAAAGCTGACTTTTCTGGTCGGGACTGGCCTGGCCTACTGTGTTCCTCCAGCTCCACACTGATCTCTTGACTCCAGCATCAGCAGTTCTTACTGTCTCTAACACCGTAAGGGGGTGCGTGAGTGGGTAATAAAGCCCTAAAATTATAAAACAGTGATTTTCAAATGTAATAATGATACATAATGCTGGGTACTTGGCCCTCTTAGCCCAAACACAGTGCGCACCCACAACAGAGGGACTCTGCTGGAAATGCACAAATCAGTCAGGGTCTGTTACAGTCATACAACAGGAAACCAGACCCTTCACTCCAACTCATTTGTGCAAACCAAACATCATATCTGACCTTGTCACATTTGCCAGCATTTGGCCCATATCCCTGGAAGCCCTTCCTATTCCTATACCTATTCAGATGGCCTTTTAAATGTTGTTGTTGTAACAACCTCCACCACTTCCTCTGGCAGCTCACTCCATACATGCACCACCCTCTGTGTGAAAAAGTTACCCCTCAGGTCCTTTTTATATCCCTCTCCTCTCACCTTAAACCAATGTCCTCTAGTTTTGGACCCCAACCCCAGGAAAAAGATCTTGGCTATTCAAGATGGGCTATTCTACGCCCATCATGATTTTATAAACCTCTACCAGGTTACCCCTCAACCTCTGACGCTCCAGGGAAAATAACCCCAACCTATTCAGCCTTTCCCTATAGCTCACACCCTCCAGTCCCAGCAATATTCTTGTAAATCTTTTCTGCACCCGCTCATGTTTAACAACATCTTTCCCACAGAAGGGCGACTGGAATTGAACGCAGTATTCCGAAAGTGGCCGAACCAATGTCCTGTACAGTTGGAACATGACATCCCAACTCCTATACTCAATGCACTGACCAATTACAGCAAGCACACCAAATGCCTTCTTCACCACTCTGTCTACCTGCGACTCCACTTTCAAGGAACTATGCACATGCACATCTAGGTCTCTTTGTCGGGCAACACTTCACAGGGCCATACCATTAACTGTATGAGCCCTTCCCAGGTTTGCCTTACCAAAATACAACACCTCACATTTATCTAAATTAAACACGATCTGCCACTCGGCCCACTGGCTCAACGTCCCATCGTCCCATCGTACTCAGATAATCTTCTTCAACTGTCCACTACACCCCCTATTTTGGGTCGTCTGCAAACTTGCTAGGCAAATCCAAATTATTTATATAAATGACAAAAAGCAGTGGACCCAGCACCAATCTTTGCGGCACACTGCCTGTCAGAGGCCTCCAGTCTGAAAATCAATCCTCTATTACCACCCTCTGTCTCCTACCTTCAAGCCCATTTTGTATCCAATTGGCTAGCTCCCCCAGATCCCATGTGATTTAACCTTACTAACCAGCCTACCATGTCGTACCTTGTCGAACATTTTGCTTAAGTCCACACAATGTCTACCACTCTATCTTCATCAATCCTTTTTTGCCACCTCTTCAAAAATATTTAAATCATGTTAGTGAGGCATGATTTCCCACGCGCAAAGCCAAGCTGATTATCCCAAATCAGTCCCTGCCTTTCCAAATACATGCAAAACCTGTCCCTGAGATTCCCCTCCAACAACTTACCCACCACTGATGTAAGGCTCACCAGTCTGTAGTTCCCTGGTTTTTCCTTACAGCCCCTTCTTAAATAATGGCACCACATTAGCCAACCTCCAGTCTTCTGGCACCTCACCCATGGCTGCCAATATTACAAATATCTCAGCAAGGGGCCCAGCAATCCCTTCCCTGGCTTCCCACAATGTTTTGGGAAATACTGATCAGGTCCCAGGGATATTTGCACAATTTTACCTCCAGTAGCTCAACTCTTTTCAGGACATAATTATTTATTTCTCCAAGTTCCCGAGCTTCCATGTCCTTTCCCACAGTAAATACCTGATGCAAAATATCCATTTAGTATCTCACCCATCTCCTGTGGTTCTATATACAGACTGTCACGTTGATCTTTAAGGGCTCCTGTTGTCTCCTAGTTCTCTTTTGCCCTTAATATACTTACAGAATCTCTTTGGATTCTCTTTATTTCTATTTGCCAAGGCTACCTTGTGTCCCCCTTTTTGCCCTCCTGATTTCCCTCTTAAGTATACTCCTGTCTTTATATTCCTCTCAGGATTCACTCGATCCCAGCTGTCTCTAGTTAACGTAGGCTTTCTTTTGCTTGACCAGAACCCCAATTTCTCTATTTGTTAGAAAAATCTGTTTAAAAAAGAATTAGTATTGAATGAAACTGAAGAAAGGTTACACCCTTTTTTTAAAAAATGTTGACAGGTGGTGATTGACTTGCTGGTTGTTGCCAATGTAGGTTTGGATTTTTGGCAATTGTATTTTTCTTCCATTTTTTCATTGTTTCTTCATTAAACTCACGGCTTAATGAAGCTTTTTAAAAAAAAGAGAGAAATATGTATTACACAAGTCGAACTTTCCCAACAGTTTGCAGGAGATATTTCTGTGTTGTCTACGTAGTGCACATTTTTCAGATTCTACTGAAACCCACCTTCTTCTGTGGTTAACCTACATCTTCCCAGATTGGAGGCTGCAGGTCAGTTGGTAATCAAAGTCTAAAGCAACTTCACTGATTTATATAATCTCAATTTAATAGGTTTTATTGTAATTTCAAATGTTAAAGATATAGGCAGCTTTTTGAGGCCATCTTTTAAATGCTTTTGTTTGGTAAATAGATTTTAAGAACTTTACTTTTGATCAATTCAGAATGGGTATATCTACTAGATTAATTATCTTGTTTAGATCCTGCTAATGTCGACCTTTTTAAAAACTTAACTTGTAACTGCATGCATCAGTATAGCAATCATATAGCTTGACAAAACCTAAGAGAGGTTTCTGAATTAGCACTGGGACCCAAAACAGCTTGTGGCATTTGACTCATTCCTGCAATCCTCACAATCAGCAATGGTGTCAAGCCACTCAATGAGCAATGATTAGACCAAGAGGTTGAAGTCAATTTCATATTCCTCAACCAGCTACCGATGAGTGGGGGCACATATATTTCTAATGTTATCTATTTGTTGGAACCTCAAGAATCATAGTGGATTCATTTGTTAACTCTGCCTCGCTACAGATGCGACCAGAACTGCTGAGGTTTTCCAGTACTCTATTTTTATCCATCTACAACTGCTTTTCACAAGTGGACTTTTTTGCACGTACAACAACTTCACTTAAGTGACACTGAATTCTAACTGCCATGGCTGTCAGGACCTTTGGAACTGCAAAACAGTTTAGTATAAATATAGCACAAGAATGAATGGGAAGGAACAAAAACAGAAGCTGCTGGAAAATCTCAGCAGGTCTGGCAGCATCCATGAGGAAAAAAAAAATCAGAGTTAACATTTCGGGTCCGGTGACCCGAAACATTAACTCTGACTTTTTTCTTCACAGATGCTGCCAGACCTGCTGAGCTTTTCCAGCAGCTTCTGTTTTTGTTCCCAATTTACAGCATCCACAGTTCTTTTGGTTTTAATGAATGGGAAGGAACTTGCAATGGTCAGGTAAGGCTGGGAAATGAGGTACCTCAGCTTGTACAAACAGTTAGTATCTGCATCTATCACCAAGTGATCAATAGTTAAAAATGGATTGATGAATATTTTAATTTGATGAGCATTTTAACTCTCTAATTTAGGCTCAGGAGCAGAGATGCAGGCAAACTAACCTGTTGTTGAGAGCTGTAGTCAAACAAACTCACAGCAGCTGTTGCGGAATCCATTTGCACCTGGCTACTGGAATAATCAAACTGTAGCGAGTCCAGCCCGACAGGTTCCATAGAATCCAAGGGCACACTCTGTGACTCCACATTGTTGAAATCTTCTGCAGGTTTCACATTGTTACTGTTGGCCAGCTGACCAAGGCCTTCTGAACTGTTCTGGTTGGGTCCAAGAAGATCCACGACTTCGTTTGGGGAGGTCTGGCAGCTGCCAGGGGTACGGCTGCAAAGAAAAGTTCAACGTCATTCCTGCGTACGCAACAAAAATATATCTCTTTGTTATTAGTACAGACAGGTAACAGCAACTACACAAATTTAAATCAATTGCAGAAAACTAAAAAGGAACGTGCAATGTATATTGATCTTGGAGATGTGTAATCAAGTTTTTGTTTTCAGAAATGCAAATTCAACTGTATACAGAAATGATTTGTTTATCACGTGCAAAAGACAGTCTGGTCAAAATGCTGACAGTCTTCTTTCTTCTATCCGTTCACGGAAAGTGGGCATCGCTAATTATCCAGAGGGCTTTTAAGAGTCAACCACACTGCTGTGGGTATGAACTCACATGTTGGCTATGTGCAGCTTTTCTTCTGTAAAGGGCATTAGATGGGTTTTTATGACAATCGACTTTACATGGTCACCATTAAGCTAGCGATTCATTCCAGATTTCACCTAATTCAAATTTTAACCATCTGCCAAGGTGGGATTTGAACTTGTATTCCCCCAGAACATTAGCTCAGATTTCTGGATTACTTGTCTAGTAACATTACTGCAATGCCACTGCCTCCTTAAGTATTGATTTTTTAAAAAGAAATATGAATGTCACCTCCAATCAATAATCAACTTTACAGAGTTGTCATGGATCTAAAATGTGCACAAACTTCTTTTAGCAAGCAAATCAGACATTGTTTAAGGCATAAAAATTGCTCTTAGTTTTGAGCCATTTACTACTAATCAAAAACGTTTCATAGTAAGCCATGTGTTGCTGACAAAGGGAAAAAACAAAACCACAGAATGTTCCTTAAATGTAAGATTATGTATGATGCATTAGTACTTGAAATTACATAAAAATTAAAAAAACTGCCTGGTTGGGTCCAACTTAATTTCCTACTGTATAACAGGAAAAATAGCCAATTTTATTCCTTTGTGTAGAACTGGAATCATGAGGCTACTATTTCTCAGGTCAGAGATTAAATGGGGTAGGAAAGTAGAGAAATACAAACATAAATCACACAAAGCAGAACAAGTTTTATTAAGGCAGCAGAAGAATGCAATTTCCAGAGTAAAAGAATATAAAAGCAGGGACAATGTTAAATTATACAGAGCCTCGAGTGTTCACAGTTTTAATCTCTGGACTAGAAAAGGACATTGAAGCATTTGTGAGAAGAGCAGGAATGCTTTACAAGGATGTTATCAGAATTGTGATGCAACCATCATGAAGGAGTGAGCGGGAAGAGTTGCTTTCTCTGGAAGAGAGACTAAGACGACTCCTCATGGGGGATTAAAACTTATGCAGTGACTCAACAGGGATGGTGGTGAGAAACTGTTCCCACACACAAGCACAGAAATAAATACAACAAATACAAAATTGTCACCAACAGATCAAAATTTAAGAATTTCAAAAACAGTGGTGTGAGCCTGCCACATGGACTGTTAGAAGGAAATGGAAATATAACACATATGAGCAGGAACAGAAGGGGCAGTTATGCAGGAGGCTCACAAGAATTAAAAAAGGGTGGCAAATCTATTGGGCTGAATTGCCCATTTGGGTGCAAATGACAATTACTGGCATTTTTAATGTCAATACAGTGGAGCTGGAGGAACACAGCAGGTCAGGCAGCATCAGAGGTGCAGGAAAGTCAACATTTCAGGTTTACACCCTTTATCAAGACTGGGAAGGGGGAAGGGAGCTCGGATATTAAGAGGTGTGTGGGGCTGGGGGAAGGTAGTTGGGATGGTGATAGGTGGATGCAGGTAGGGGTTAGTGGAGATTGGTCAGTGGAAAGGGTAGGGCAGATAGGTGGGAAAGAAAATGGACAGGTTGTGTCAGGTCAAATAGGCGGGAGGCTTGGATATGGCAACAAGGCTGGGGGGTGGGGAGATTTTGAAACTGGTGAATTCCCTATGTTGAGGCCATCGGGCTGTAGGCTCCCAAATAGAATATGAGGTGCTGTTCCTCCACTTTGCATGTGACAGCATTGTGGCACTGCAGGAGGCCCAGGATGGACTTGTCACCAAGGGAGTGGGAGGAGGAGTTAAAATGATTGGCAACCGGAAAGTATTGTTGATTATCACGTACTGAGCGCAGACGCTCTGCAAATTGGTCACCGAGTCTGTGTTTGGTCTCGCCGAGGTAGAGGAGACCACATTAGGAGCAACAGATAAGAGTAGACCAGGTTGGAGAATGTACAGGTGAATCCCTGTTGCATTTGGAAAGATTGTTTGGGGCCTTGGACGGAGGTGAGAAGGGAGGTGTAGGGGCAGATGTAGCACCTCTTGTGGTTGCAGAAAGGTGCCGAGTATGGCGGGGAGCGTGCAGCAGACGAGGGAGTTGCAGAACAGTGGTTGCAACGGAAGGTGGATAGGGGTGAAAGGGAAATAATCTCTTTTGTGGTGGGGTCAGATGGCAGGTGGTGGAACTGGCGATGGATGATGCAGAGGTTGGTGGGATGGTATGAGAGGATCGGGGGACTCTGTCCTTAGGAGATAGCAAGAACTGCAGATGCGGGAGTCAGATACAAGAGTGTGGAGCTGGAGGAACACAGGAGGCCAGGCAGCATCAAAGGAGCAGGAAAGTTGACATTTCGGGTCGGGAACCTTCTTCCGTTGACTCTGTCCTTATCTCTGTTTGGGGATAGGGGGTTTGAGGGCAGCAGTGCAGGAAACGCAAGAGATGCAGTTGAGGGCATTATCAATCAACACAGGGCAGGGGGGGATATTGCAGTCCTTGAAGTAGGAGGACTTCTGGGATCAAGGGCATCTCTTGCATTTCCTGCACTTCTGCCCTCAAACCTCCTCTACGTCGGTGAGACCAAGCGCAGACTTAGTGACCGATTCACGGAGCATCTGCGCTCTGCACGCTACAATCAACACCACCTTCCAGTTGCCAATCATTTTAACTTTCCCTTCCCACTCCCTTGATGACATGCCCATCCTGGGCCTCCTCCAGTGTTACAAAGACGCCACACACAAACTGGAAGAACACCACCTCATATTCCATCTAGAGAGCTGACAGTCCGATGGCCTCAACATGGAATTCACCAGTTTCACAACCTCCTCACCCCTGGCCTCATCCCACGTCCAACCCTCCCTCTCATTGTCACATCCTTGACTTGACACAAACTGTCCATCTCTTTCTCACCTATCCACCGTCCTACCCCTTCCACTGACCAATCTCTACTACCCCCTACCTGCATCCACCTATCACCATCCCACCTACATTCCCCCAGCCCCACACTCCTCTATTTATTTCCGTGCTCCCCAGTCCTAAACCCGAAACGTTGAATATCCTGCTACTCTGATGCTGCCTGACCTGCTGTGTTCCTCCAGCTCCACACTGTGTGGTCTCTGACTCCAGCACCAGCAGTTCTTGCTATCTCAGAGTGATATTTTTAATGCACAGATTTTAAAAAGTCTGATATCAATTTAAGAAGTGCTGTATTTAGCTCTACTATAACCAAGTTGCAACAATAGACTGTAAGAGACAGAAAACAGGAGTTGTTCATCTACCCCCTCCAGCCTGCTTTACTATTCAACAGAATCATGACTGATCCAACATTCATGTCCACTCTCCTACCTTTTCCTCACAGCCTTCGATTCTCCTACTGATCAATAATCTACCCATCTCAGCCTTAAATATACCTCACAGCTTTCTGTGACAAGAAGCTCCAAAGATACTCAACCCTCAGAAGAAATTCCTCCTCATCTCAGTCTTAAATTGGCACCCCCTTATTCAGAGGCTATGCCCTCTGGTCCCAAACTCTCCCACAATGGGAAACATCCTCTCAATATTTACCCTGTCAAGCCCCTTAAGAATCCTATATGATTCAACGATCATCTCTCATTCTTCTAAACTCGAGTGGAGTCCCAACCTGTTTGGCTTTTGCTGATAAGACAATACTTCCACACGAGGATCATCCTTGTGAATCTTCTCTGAACTGCCTCCAATGAAATGATATTGCTCCTTCAGTAAGAGGGCGAAAACTGCTCTCAGTATTCCAGATGTGGTCTGATTTTTATATGGTTCATGGCGTACTTGAGTCACTGGCCTAGATTTATTGCCATTCCTTCAATGTGTTGAAGAAAGTGGTGATAAAGCTGCCTTCTTGGACTGCTGTAGTCCTCGGGGTGTAGGGAAATTTACAGTGCTGTTTGGGAGAGAGTTTGAGGATTTAACCTGGTTAAAGTGAAAGAACAGTAATATAGTTCCAAATCAGGGTGAAACGTGACTGAGAGGGGAACTTGAAGGTGATGTTAGAGTTTATGAGGCCAGTCAGCTAGCACCTATCTGGTCTAATCTTGTTTTCCAGCACTTGGCCCGCACTTGCAGACAGAGATTTTTGAATGAATCGGTTCCACATTGCTAGAATATGTATCTGGAGTGGACGAAACTTGAACAAAGCTTTCCAGCTCAGAAGTAGGGGCGCTTCCACTGTGCCAGAAGATCCCTTTGTATGCTTTAACATTTCAGGTATTCATCAAAATCCTTCGAAGCATTGAGGGGGTTTCTGCCTCCACCTGCCTTTCAGGCAGCAAACTCAGATACCCAGTACCAGGCTCAGATACCCAGCACCTTCTGATTGAATTTTCTTTTCCTAAAATCTTCTCAGCTTTCTAACCGTCACCTTCTGCTTACTCACCCTGCTGTTAATGGGGAAGAATTCTTCCTATGCCCCTCAATTTTGTACACTTCAATCAGGTCTTCCCTCAGCTCTCTCTGCTCCAAGGAAAATCTCAGCCTCTCTGGCTTCTCTACATTGCTGAAGTGCTCCAGGCCAAACAGTATCCTGGGGAATCTTTGCACTCTCTCTAATGCATTAACAGCCTTCCTATGGCATGACGACCAGCACAGTACTCAAGCCAACTAATATTTTATACATCTCTAGCATTACCTTCCTAATCTTGTATTCAATATCTCAACTAATAAAGGGAAGTATCCCATATGCCTCCTTAACCACTTATCTGCCTTTCAGAATCTATGCCGCACACCAATGTCTCTAATGA